TGATGTGGACGTCGTGGAAGACATTTTGTCCCGTAACGCTCGCCGTACTGTTGGGGGGGAGAAGCGGTGGGGGGGAGATGTTCATGTTGCTGCAGTCTGCAGTCTGACCGCTAGATGTCGCTAAAAGTTACATACTGTAGCTTTAAGCAAACATGGCGGCTTTATAGCTGCATCCATGTTATCACATCACGTTTATAGTGTTAACAATAGGCCTGCACACAAAAATGATTTGTTCACGCCCCCAGATAGGCATCTGCGCTATGTATATATGGAGATAAAGGGATAAAAAGTAGATAAAGTTCAGAGGTGCCCACTGAAGGCCTAGTTACCATATGCACCGCCCACCACTGCCTGCTAGTATTATTTTGTTTAAGACTGTTACAATAAAACTGTATATCTTTTTTTATTGAAAACATTTTAATTAGCTTAATTTCAGGAATAACAAATGATTTTTTTGACAAAAAAAAAAAAGACATTGTTAATTTTCATTGAAACATTGAAACCATTGCGGTCACCAGCTTGTTGTATTGCAGAAACACATCAGCGCTACTTTATATGGGTAATTCTGGTGCTAAGAATCATGAGTCGTAAAGTCCCGCCTCCTACACTCTCCCATGCTTTGTTTGGAAGTTTTTGGACCAAAGCTAGAGCAAAAGTTAACTGCTTCAGTTAATCCAGCTATCAGGTTTATAATCTGGGTATAGAGATGGACTCAGACCTGAAATAGGCATATAAAGACATAAAAAAATTGGCTTTATATCACCTAAATCATGAACGACAGACGGACAGCTAACAGGACGCCACATACAGGTGCTGGTCATAAAATTAGAATATCATGAAAAAGTAGATTGATTTCAGTAATTCCATTTAAAAAGTGAAACTTGTATATTATATTCATACATTACATACAAACTCATATATTTCAGATGTTTATTTTGTTTAATTTTGATGATTACAAATGACAACAAATGAAAATCTCAAATTCATCATATCAGAAAATTAGAATATTGTGAAAAGGTTCAAAATTGATGGCCCCTGGTGCCACACTCTAATCAGCTAATTAACTCAAACCACCTGCAAAAGCCTTTAAATGGTCTTTCAGTCTAGTTCTATAGGCTACACAATCATGGGGAAGACTGCTGACTTGACAGTTGTCCAAAAGACGACCATCGACACCTTGCACAAGGAGGGCAAGACACAAAAGGTCATCGCTAAAGAGGCTGGCTGTTCACAGAGCTCAGTGTCCAAGCACATTAATAGAGAGGCGAAGGGAAGGAAAAGATGTGGTCGAAAAAAGTGTACAAGCAAGAGAGATAACCGCACCCTGGAGAGGATTGTGAAACAAAACCCCTTCAAAAATGTGGGGGAGATTCACAAAGAGTGGACTGCAGCTGGAGTGAGTGCTTCAAGAACCACCACACACAGACGTATGAAAGACATGGGTTTCTGCTGTCGCATTCCTTGTGTCAAGCCACTCTTGAACCACAGACAGCGTCAGAAGCGTCTAAAGAGAAACAGGACTGGACTGCTGGTGAGTGGTCCAAAGTCATGTTCTCTGATGAAAGTAAATTTTGCATTTCCTTTGGAAATCAAGGTCCCAGAGTCTGGAGGAAAAGAAGAGAGGCACTTCATCCACGTTGCTTGAAGTCCAGTTTAAAGTTTCCACAGTCAGTGATGGTTTGGGGTGCCATGTCATCTGCTGGTGTTGGTCCATTGTGTTTTCTGAGGTCCAGGGTCAACGCAGCCACATACCAGGAAGTTTTAGAGCACTTCATGCTTCCTGCAGCTGACCAACTTTTTGGAGATGCAGATTTAATTTTCCAACAGGACTTGGCACCTGCACACAGTGCCAAAGCTACCAGTACCTGGTTGAAGGACCATGGTATCCCTGTTCTAAATTGGCCAGCAAACTCTCCTGACCTTAACCCCATAGAAAATCTATGGGGTATTGTGAAGAAGAAGATGCAATACACCAGACCCAACAATTCAGAAGAGCTAAAAGCCACTATTAGAGCAACCTGGGCTATCATAACACCTGAGCAGTGCCACAGACTGATCGACTCCATGCCACGCCGCATTGCTGCAGTAATACAGGCCAAAGGAGGCCCAACTAAATACTGAGTGCTGTACATGCTCATACTTTTCATGTTCATACTTTTCAGTTGGCCAACATTTCTATAAATCCTTTGTTTTTATTGGTCTTCAGTAATATTCTAATTTTCTGATATGATGAATTTGAGATTTTCATTTGTTGTCATTTGTAATCATCAAAATTAAACAAAATAAACATCTGAAATATATGAGTTTGTATGTAATGTATGAATATAATATACAAGTTTCACTTTTTAAATGGAATTACTGAAATCAATCTACTTTTTCATGATATTCTAATTTTATGACCAGCACCTGTATACCGAGCTGACAGGGCAGCAGATGACTCCGGAAAGACCAGAGGCTTGTGCATTTATATTAGCAAAGGTTGGTGCACAGTCTCTGCTACTTCTGAGAGACACTGCCTACAGCACACAGAGTTATCAATTGTAAAATTTAGACATTAGTATCTCCCAAGGGAATTCACTTCTATCATCCTCACTGCTGTCTATACGCCCCCGAATGCTAATGCCAAGCCAGCCTGGAAAGAACTTTATGAGGTCATTAGCAAACACCATACCAAACAACTTACTGGTATTGTTGCGGGTGACTTAAACCACTCCAACTTGAAAACAATCCTCCCCATATTCCACCAACATGTTTCCTGCCACACCAGAGGAGACAAGACCCTGGAACATGTCTACTCCAACCTAGCTGGAGCATTCAAGGCAACACCCCTACCGCACATCAGACAACCAGTCCATCTCTTCCTGTTCCTCACACCTTGGTACTCACCCCTCATCCAAAGTGTGAAACCTACTGTGAAGGAGAGTTAAGGTGTGGTCAGAGGGCTCAGTACTGTGGTGCTGGAGGACCTGTACTGGACCACATCTCCACCACCATAGACGGTGTCACCACCGACAAACACTATGTACCCCAACCAGAAATCCTGCAGGAATCGGGACGTTCGCCTCCTATTGAAGGCCCCCAACATCGTCAGACTACCGGACCACCAACACCTCTCCCGCCTCCTCAGATGTCACATTCCTCAATGAGCTTAACATCTTTTATACCCGTTTTGAGAGAGGGAAGACTACAGCTGCAACCAAGACAGCCTTTGCCCCAGACCACAGCTACTGACTCTCCCCTCCACTGACGTAGGAGTGTTCCTGAGCAGGATTAAAGCCCACAAGGCTGCAGGTCCTGAAGGCATCCCTGGACATGTCCTCAGAGTGAGCTCTGGGGAGCTGTCAGGAGTGCTGACAGATCTTCAACATGTCCCTGGCCCACGTTGTGGTACTGACCTGCTTCAAGTGCACCTCCATCGTCCCAATCCCCGAGGAACTCCAACTCATCCAGACTTAGTGACTACCGTTGGCTAGCCCTCACCCCCATCATCACCAAGTGCTTTGTGTGGCTTGTTCTAGCTCACCTAAGATTCTGTCCCCCACTGGACCGCCACCAATTTAAATACAGGCAGAACAGGAGCACAGAGGATGCAGTACCCATAGCGCTGCACTCTGTCCTTCCACACCAGGACAGTACTATAACTTGAACAATTCATAAGTGGCATATTTATTACAAGCATTTGTTAATATGGGCTTAATACTAATGTTTTTTTTTTTTTTTCCTGGATGGGACCACCTGTGGAGCTGGTTTACAGTTCCTTTCTGTATCTCTGCTTCTGTCTCCTTGAACCCCAGTCGGCCTCAGCAGATGGCCGCTCACACTGAGCCTGGTTCTGCTGGAGGTTTCTTCCTGTTAAAAGACAGTTTTTCCTCTCCACTGTCACTACAAGCATGCTTAGTGTGAGGGATTGCCTTCGAGTTAATTAGTCGATGCAATCAACTGGTTTTCCTTAGATGGAAATCTTTGAATCAATTTGACTGGATGATCTGGTGAACTGGAAAGTGCCTTGAGTTGATATGTGTTGAAAATTGGTGCTATACAAATAAACTGAACGGAATTGAATTAATAGTTATTTTAGTTGGAGGCTATGTTGACACTTGATGAATATTATTTAAATAAGATGTAAACAAATCCACAATTAAAATATATTTGCAACATTAGGCTGTGCTCACTGATTATTTTATACTTTTTGTGTTGAAACATGTAGCCCTATTAACAGGCTAATTGCTGATTATGGGTATGGTTATGACAGTTAATAGATTAGATGAATTAAACAAGATATTATTTATAGACATAACATAACTAACTGTGACACTTCATACGGTACATTTAACTTCAAAGGAAAATATATGTTCTGTGTTTTATTAATATATATTCCATTAAAATGTTTCATACTACAAAAGTGGTTCAGTTGCAGACAGCTCTGTCCAGCTTCAAGCAGACTTTTAAACGCCCATCAGCACAGCCAGACACTCTGGTCCACATTCCAGGCGAGGCACTGGAACGGACACCATTTTTTCACTTTAAGCCTGATACAAACAAGCACACTGACCTATAAAATGCTGTTGGTATAACGTCCATACAGGCCATTAAAATGACTCTTCGGTCGTCACTTCAGAGGAAAGTCCGCCCCAGAAATGAGAGAATGTAATTAGTAAAATGCGATTAAAAAATAATTAAATTCTTTAAACTTAATCTTTAAAGAAAAAAAATGGATATGAAACATAAATTAATAAAACACAATTTGAAAAAATGAAAAAGTTTTCTTTCTGGATTCCTTTTTTTTTTTTACATTTAAATCCACAAAATGTGCTTTTGTTTTCAAATTCCCATTTACAAAATGTGTTTTTGTGCTTGCAAAAATAATGGACCAAAATTCACTCCATACGCATCATGCATGTTTGTTTGTCTGTAAAGATGTTTTTATGAGAATCCAAAGGAAGCGCTTTAAAATGTCATATTTCACTGTTAAGTTTTGCGTCTATTGGATTTCATCTCAGGGCTCTGCAGAGCGAGAGGCTATTGCCACAGAGGAAATGTCGACTCTGGTAAACTACGTCCAGCCAACCAAGTTCAACTCCTTCGAAGCATCAAAGAGTAAGTGAGCAACACATGAAGAATCTGCTGCCTTGTGATCTTTGCAGCACAGTGTGAAATGCTGGATCTTTGCACTTTTATCTTTGCTTTAATTTCATGTTTTTCCCCTCATTATTTTTGACACTGGCAAGTCTGTAACTATTTCAGAATGTAAGATCGTCTGTGGCAGTTTTCCCAAAGTTGATATCTGAAGGAGGGAAGTGATGTAACAGAAATAATTGCCCAGAAATGAGCTTCCTGTTTTTTTCCTCTTTCTGTGTCTAGAGGCGGCCCGCTGTTACCACATGTCGTCTTTTGTAGAGACCAAAGCTTTGGAGCACCTCACAAAGTCACCAGTGGAGTTTGTGGAGTATCCTTGGCAACCGATTACCATAGTTGCAGAGCCCCATGGCAACCGGTTCTTTTCTTTGTTTTCCCTTTTCCTCTTTGAATATATATTTATTTTCTTCTTCAAATGTCAAAACTCTGTATGAGTCACTAAGGAACTTTTGCATTGATTTTTAGTGAGCTTTGTTATTTATGTTGGCTTGAGTACAGTAGGAGCCACTTCAAAAGTTCATGAGTCCCTTTATACATTTAAAATTACATTTATCTTTTTAAGGAAAAATTTTAAAATAATTGAAAGGACATTTAGTTTTTGTATAGCCTGAATGCAATTATTTATGCTTGTACCAAAGTATAATTCTTTGGTTCCTTAACTTAAAGTGAAGATATAATAAATCCCAGCTGAGTCGTATATACCCCAAAGGAACCAGAGTGGACTCATCAAACTTCATGCCTCAGCTGTTCTGGAATGCTGGATGTCAACTTGTGGCCCTTAATTACCAAACTATTGGTAAAGATTAAATACTAGCATAAAAATGCTGAAAACCACAGCTCCCCAAAGGGGATGGATTAAATGCAGAGATCAATTTCTCTATTGTGAGATCAATAAAGCTCAATTTATTTTATTTATTTGGAAAACGTATTACAAACAACACCTTCAAACTAATCAAAAAAGCTAGAGGTTCGTAAAGATTAGAGAAAAGTAAAATTTAATATGTAATCCCGTTAGGCCTGAGTTCACAGCGTCATTTTACCTCTTTTGTCTAAATGTATGAGCTCCGATTATTTTTTGTAAAAATCTCCCAGAAAAACTCCTAATATTGTTAATTGATATTATTTAGTACAGCCTTGTTCTTGTAATTTTATGACTTTATTCTCGTAATTTTCTCAACTTTATTCTAGTGGTTTTATTACTTTATTCTCACGATGTTATGACTTTATTCTCGTAATTTTATGACTTTATTCTCATAATCTTACGACCTTATTCTAAAAATTTTACGACTTTATTCTCGTAATTTTACGTCTTTATTCTTATAATTTTACGTCTTTATTCTTGTAATTTTACAACCTTATTTTCGTAAAGTTACGACTTTATTCTCATAATCTTACGACCTTATTCTAAAAATTTTACGATTTTATTCTTGTAATTTTACGTCTTTATTCTCATAATTTTACGTCTTTATTCTTGTAATTTTACAACCTTATTCTCGTAAAGTTACGACTTTATTCTCAAAAATAAAAGAAAAAAAATCTCTAGCCTGGCCCTAAAACTCTGTCCTAGTTGTTCACCACAAACCAAAATAAATAGTTTCAAGATGATGCAAAGTTAAATTTGAAGTTATCATCCAGAATTGCAGAAAAATTTTCCCTTAATAGGGTAGTGCAGTAAGGCTTCTCTCCATAACATTTTTTCTGCATTAATTTTATACTTTAAGAAGTTTTAAAAATAGTATTTCAACCTGAGTAGAATGCTTGTTAATACTCTAAATTCTACAAAAGTTTTTTAAACAGCAGGATTTGTACTTCTAATTGAGTAATAAACATGAATACATTGACACCTCTGGAAATGGGTGGTATAGTACAGGCAATTTTCTTCCATCTGAGTATTTTCTCATTTATATGCTCACAATAGACTTTGAAAGGCTTAAAAAAGCCTGATATAGCACCTTTAATTCCACCCACACTATACAACTGCAAAACAATGAAATCTAAATAAGTCATTTCTTCTTAAAATAAGTGCATTTTTTCTTGAATTAAGGATTTAAGTGAGACACTTTGCCAATGGAACAAGACAATTTACACTTAAAATAAGAAAAAACATTTGCATTGTCTTATTTCAAGTGTATTTTATCTAGATACCTTATTTTAAGAGTAAAAATACTAATTCCATTGGCAAATCATCTTATTTAACTGCTCAAATTAAGGGTAAATACCCTTAATTTAAGACATTTTTACTCATTAGCCCAGACTGCATTAAATTATTCTTTTTCAGTCTTATAATCAGACAGAATCAAACAAAAAGAGTCACTCTTGATACTTTAAAACAAAAGGAGCTTTGTGTCCCAGATCTTTCCATGCAGTTGAACCTCTTCATGTTCGAGTACAACGGCCGCAGCGGCTACAGACTGAAACCGGAGTTCATGAGGCGGCCGGACAAGCATTTTGACCCATTCACAGAAAACACAGTGGATGGCATCGTAGCTAACACGCTCTCTGTGAAGGTATACCTCAACCATCAAATCCTCTCCATTTTCAATATCCTAGAATTCCTCTTAAAGCCATTGATAAAGAGAATGGCTTGTGTTGATCACAGGTCATTTCAGGCCAGTTTCTGACCGAACGGAGGGTGGGTGTGTATGTGGAGGTGGAAATGTTTGGACTTCCCGCAGACACCAGGAGAAAAGCTCTGAAGACCAAAACCTCCCAGAACAACAACGCCATCAATCCGGTGTGGGACGAGGAACCCATCGTCTTTAAGAAGGTAAGGGATGGCCGAAGGAAGACAGAGTAAAATCCAACTCTTCCTTCAGACGGATGACTTCTCCTGTCCTGCAGGTGATTCTTCCAACTCTCGCCTCACTGAGAATTGCAGCATTTGAGGAAGGAGGAAAGTTCATTGGCCATCGAATTATTCCAGTTTCTGCCATCAGACCAGGTCTGTAGTCGCTCATTTGTGTTTAAGTGCCATTGACCCCTTAATCCCAGAAAGGCATTGAGGAATATTTTTCAGGTGGAACCACTATTTTAAATGTCACCATGTCTGATTTATAGGTGATTAAACAAAGAAAAAAATGAAAAATATTTAGCCTGGCCAATGTTTTCCAAAATAACGAGCGCAAAACACCATGAAACCCCATTTGAAACTCTGGTTAAACCCTCAGATTTTATAGATCCACATCTTTCAATAGGACGAGCAAATCTGGACTGAATAAGTTGAAGCATGTTTATTCCACAAAGGTTTTAGTGGGCAGTGTGGCCAAAAATGCATTTTTCCACTCATAAAAGGGAATCTGGTCTGACAAATATGCTGATTTACATTATTGGAGACCTTCTGCATAAGATGAAGCCTTTGCTCCTAAGATTTTTTCATTGAAATAACGCATGCCGGTTACATCACCTGAAATACTCACACAATTACCTCCGACCGCTAAAAATGAATACCTGCTGTTGCATTATTCCTGCAGAGTCACACATGCCAGTTGGAGTTTTAACTCTCATGTTATTTGTTTACACAGCTATAAAACAATAAGTATTTGTGAAAAAATAATATTGAAACATATTTTAGAACATTTAAAGTCCCATTTGAAATGTGTGTGGATGAAACACCATGTGACTGAGTTTTGGCCATTTCTATAAACACATTAAAATGAGCAGGTGTCAGTTGGGCCCAGCACCGGGCATAAGGGGTTAAGGATCTAGATCTATCATTGTCTACTGACTTAAAATATGCAACACAAACAACTGATCAGAGCATAAAGCTGCAGCAGAGATTTTCTCCTAGAGCTAAAGAAATGGTTCAATGCATTCAGTTTTTTTTTCTCTACAATCTCACAGACAGACTTGGCATATTATTCAGACACTGACTGCCTTCCTGAAAACATCTTGGCTCCCACTGGTTTTAGAATCCCACACATTCATTTTTGATAAATGAAGGCTTTTAATTAAAAGAAGTAGAGGTGTTTATTCTTCTTGTTGTTATTAGACTCAATCACAGCAGATTCTGCAGCGAACCTTTCCTGCTGGGTTTATATGTTTAAAAACCTGATTTACTTTATTTTCTGAGGGATATCTAAACCTGAAATCATAAATTTATTTAGAATAGTTCTTTAATCTTAAACTGTTGAGGAGCTGAGTGAAACCTCTATCTTTTTTTCTATTTATATGAATTTGATTTAAAATTTTGCTCTATTATTGTTACAAGCAAGAAACACTGAAATTCAAAACAAACAAAAAAAATGCAATATAAAAATCAAACTTTCAAAAATTTCTGAATCAGAAAAAAATTGTGAATTTGGTGTATTCTTGATATTTTTTATTTCAAGCTTATTTTTTTATGTTTTTAATGTTATTCTTTTTCTAACTTATTTTTTCAGTCTTTTTAGATATTTTCAATTTATTTTTTTTCATATTTCTTTTCTACATTGAATTCTATGCCTTTCATACGATTCATAATTGCATTTTTCAGCTCGCATTAATGCCTGCTTGGCAACAATCGGTTTTAGCCAGTGACAGTGAGAAATGAAGCAGCAGCAGACCCAAATTAGAAATCACAAAGACTTATACTTTAAGCTATTATTCCTCCTTTTTTAAAGAAGAGATTGTGGATTCTGATAAAAACAGATGATATAGTATGTACATCCTCTTTTGCTGCCGTATTTATTTCGGTTCAGCTGTTGGCTCAGCAGCTCTTTCTTAAATCACAGCTAAAGCCGGCCAAACACTGTGGAACTCATGATGTATGAGAATTTTTGCCGACTTTCAACCTGATGGTAACCTGACTCCGCCTGAAACCTTCAGTTGTAGTAATTTTGGGAAGGGGCGAAAATACTGGTTAGCTGATTGGCCTATGTTGGTGATAGACGGGCCAAATAAACCAATCAGATCAACGAAGCATATGACGTACTAACAGAGTGACGATGAAGAAGAGCCAATTGGTAGATCAAGCTCTTGCCGAAACCAATCGGGAGAAGAGCAAAAACATCTTTTCCTCTGAGAAAAGCCTACAGAGCAGTGTTTTGCTCTTCTTTCAGTGAAGAAATACTCTGTAATTCCGATAAAACTTGCTCGATAGCCACGCTAACGCTAGTTTCAACGGCTGAAGCCGCCATGTTCTTTAGACTGAACTGTCGCGCTTCTCGTTGCGTCAAACCTCAACCCGCCTCAAAGCCAACGCTGATTGGATGTTCATTTGGTGAACGGCTCCAAATTTTCTTTAACGGAGAGTCTCCAGACTGATTAGCGAGCGAAATCTTGAAAGCTCGCGAGATCAGGATGGTCTCAAGAGGCTAGCCTGATGGTGCTTCATGTCGTGTCTCACGACCACCTCCCGATCAGGAATCGTGAGGTCAGGAGTCATTGGACAAATCGCTGAGTGCGCAAACAAGCGTGAGTGAAATTGAGTTCTTTCGGTAAAATTGACAGACCGTAGTAGCTACGTTTGCTCAGCCATGTCTTTCTCCAAATACGTCGTTGCCTTTTCTTTTTAGGGCTTTCAGCACAAAATTGCGCAAATTGCCAGGGCAGCGCGTTTCACTCTAGTGAGCTTCATATTCCTCTTCTACTGGTTTGGCTTCTGGATAAACGAGTCCGAGTAGCACCATCTCACTGCAGAGCTGAGTCCCACGTGGTTTTCAGACGTACAGTGTGAGCAGGTAGATCGCATCAGAGCGTCAAGTCACAGTGTGAGAACAAACATCGTGAGCTGTTAACTTTTAAACCCTGAGGTTTCGTTGTACATTTTGAGCTGTCGCTACGGCCAGCGACAAAAAAAGCGCAGTGTATGCCGGGCTTAAGTGTCCTTCCTTAAACCATAATACTGCAACCTAATTGGCCGACCTGTTTTCACTTGTTCCTCAGTCAAAGGGCAACTTTGTTGCCCACTTTGCAACTTTGTTGCTATGTCAAACAACCTCTATAGGGAGTTTTCTTTCTTTTTTTTAAGTCACTAGCAACAACTCTAGCTACATTTTTTCTGTTTTTCTGGAGACATCTGCAGGAGCATGAAAGAACCGATCAATGTGAGTCTTCAGCGAGCACGGATGCAACCAATGAGTGGCGAGTGCTGCTGCAAGATCCTCCCTCTTCCATAGCACTGGCAGGCTGTCATGCTTGGCAGCAAACCGTGCCTGCAGACAAAGAGAGATGAGCAACTCTTTCTCTAATGAAATTAGGTCACATTTATACACTGACCTCCCCTAAAGGAGGGTGTAAATATACAGCGTAATATTTTTATCTGTTGCGCTAAAAGAGATCCCTTCCTTCCTACTCTGCCTCATTCACTGTTTGTCCTTTTCCTCACTGTCTTCAATTGAATTTGACAAAATAAGAAGTATGATTTATGTAGTTTTTTTTTTCAGGTAAAATATAACTTAAAGCTGAAAGTTATTTTATAGAGTTCTGAGTTTTTTTATTTAATTTCAAGCGTATTTAGAGTGAGCTTTATCGCTTTCTGCCTGGTTTATGTTATGTTAGAATTCAGATCACATTGTTTCTCAAAGAGCCTCTTTGGATAGTTTTTCTCTTTGACTTTTGAACCTAACCAGGTTATCTTTGATATTCGAATCTTAAACATGTAGTAAATATTTTGTTTAACATTTCCTCCGCAGGTTATCGTTACATCGGCTTGAGGAATGAGAAGAATCAGTCTCTGATTTTACCTGCTGTATTTGTCTACATTGAAGTTAAAGACTACGTCCCAGATACATTTGCAGGTAAATTCTGAGACACAAAATGATCCATTCTTTCTTTATTAAAACTTAGTTTTAGAGATTTCTGTTAATGAGCAATTTGATTTGATTTTGGAAGATTTCTTGGTTTTAAATTCAAATTCATCATCTTATTTTTATTATGTTTAAAACGAATCTTGGTCAGGTTTCCTCAAATAATGTTCCAGTTTCACTGAAAACAGAGAGATTGTTGGAAGAAGTTGCTTCAGGGAACTTTTTTTGACTTTGCTCGTTACTCATCACAGCATTCTTGACCATTTCTTCTACAAACCTCTTATAACAACATTTCTGGAGCTTTACATCTAAACGATAATGATTAGATTTGTTGATAGTGATGAATCAGATGTGTACTTCATGGCTCCTTAGAGCCCCCTGCAGGACATTACATTTTTAGAAGAAAGATGTGATCATGAGTCTAGTTTGTTTTAATATCCAAAGACCTTGAATTTGCCTCATCAGCTTATTTTTTTATTTATTAATTTAATTTTTTCCCTTCAGATGTGATCGAGGCTCTGTCCAACCCGATTAGATACGTTAACCTCTTGGAGCAGAGAGCGAAACAGCTGGCTGCTCTGACCCTGGAGGACGGTGAGGAGGAGGCACAGACTGAGGTGGGCTTCTTCCTTCCTTTTTAGATTAATTGACCTTTTTTGGTTAAATTTATGCAACATAAACATGTTGGCCCAAATATGTTGTAAGTTTCATATTAACTTTAAAACTGCTTTTTTTTATGCACAAAAAAAGAAACGTAAATTCTTAAAAATGTATAAATCATTTTTTATATATTTCACTAATTGCCATTTTTTACTGCACAATGCATGTTGGATTGATGATTTGGTTTGCTATATGTCATTCACCCAGAATGCATTGCAGCGTAAACAACATGGTGACAGCATTTTATTTAAGTTTATCAAACCTAAATGTACCGAAGAGGATTAGGGCCAATGAAAAAGTAAAAAAATTAGCTGATTTTTAAATTTTATTTCAGTATAATATGAGAAAAAAGTCAGAATTCTGACTTTTTTTTCCATATATAACTTTCTTTTATTTCTTCAGTGGTCCTAATCCTCTTCCGTATAAACGGCTAACTGTACTTTCTCTATTGTATATACATGTAAAATAAGTATTTCTCAAATGAAATCTAATGTTAAAACTTATCCTGGGTTCCTTTAAGCTTAAAATTGATGACAACCTTTTTTCAATGACTTCCAGGATGACACAGAAACTGGAACAGAGCGTAAGAACGACCTGAAACCAGCTCCTCTGGAAAACGGACTCAGTCCCAGCTCCGGTCCGGTGGGTCACACTCCTGTGGCTACTACGCCAAAAGCCTCTGCAGCCAATCAGCAAGCGACTACAACAGGTGGGAAAAAAACAACCTATCAACAAGCTATAAGATTATAGTCGGATTGTTTCATTAGTGATAAAAAGAACTGGTTTTGATGCCCGATTTCCTTGCTTCTCTTTGATGCTTCATTTCCGAACTTTAGAAGCAGCGAAACCAACAGCAAAGACTGAAGATCTAGTTTTAAGTGTTTTGATAGGTGAGTTTTTAACATTTCAAACTCTTCATCTATTAAGTATAATTAATCCATGAAATCCATCTTTGCAGTCAGGAAAAAATGACCCTAATAGATTGTGCTTGCTATTTTGTTGCACCTAAATATTTCATCATGTTATCATTTAATTGTTTTAGAAAAAACATAAACTGAGTAAATACAAAATTCAGTTTTCATATTATTAATTTGCTTATTAAGCAAAAATAAAGAAACCTGACTGAGCTGAGCTGAAATCCACCAAGGCCTGTTCACTCCTAACCTGTTTGAAATCATCCAGTGAGCGGAAACATAGACATCTGAAAACCCTGAAGATGAAAACCTGAACTAATCATTTTAAAAACAGGACAACATCTATCCTACATGGAGATGATGCTCCCATTTCAGAGAGATGGTTTGAAAAAGGTGAAGGAAGACAGCACAAAAAAAATAAATAAACCAACGCTAAGCCGAGGTGGTTTTCGCAAAGACCTGGCTTTTCAACCCATGATATTACAGGATTCACACTAAATAATAGACCCTACAGACCCAGAGGAGGGATGTATATGAAACTATTCAATTCAGTTCAGTTTATTTATATAGCACCAATTCACAACCAGTGGTGTAAAAAGTACACACATGTGTTACTTAAGTAGATGTATAGATACTGCAGTTTAAAAACACTCTGGTAAAAGTTGAAGTATCAACTTGACCTCTTTACTCAAGTAAAAGTGAAAAAGTATGTGCTCCAAAAACAACTTAAAGTATAAAAGTAACCTTTAAAAAAAAACAGCCAGATGCCACTATATGAATTGAAAGCTCAATTATTCGACTATTTTGAAAAATTCTTTGAGATAGGTCCAAGGATGAGGGAGGTCTTGTTGGTCTCCATCTCCAGATACGCTCTCGCCTGTGTCCGACCTTTCAGACATTTCAACATCTTTTTCTGAATCCCACATTGTAGCATGGCATAGACAATTCACGTTAGCAGTTTGAAGAACACCTGCTTGCTTCTGATGATTTCCTTTAGCTAACCAATGAGTGTTTGCGTTCTATGACTCATCCAATTACACTAGTTTTCACTAGATGTGGATGGAGCCAATGATCTGCATTGGATGGAGCACATGACGGGAAATAAATATTTATAAACATTAAACCAAAAAAAAAAATCAGTGGGGTTCGAATAAAGACAATCATCAATAGAGACATTTTTAATGATGTGTTACTTTAAACAGAATTTAACACTGAAATAAAATGACGTATTTATGCATTCATGTGACATTGAATAAAAAAAAAAACAGAAATTGCCAAAAATTGCATCCCGTGCTAACTCAGAGGAGCTGACACTTGTAAGACTGTATTCCTTTATATCCATCAGTAGTTAAAGGACAAGGGTCAGCAAATTCAAATTCTGCCTGTAAAACAATGACAGCATAATTGTTGCTGTACGATCTGAAGCCTCATTTGGAGCTTCTAAACAGGCTTTTGAAAAACTTTGCTTATTTGCTGCTGTAATATTATAGATTTTTTAGAATAAAAATAAAAAAAAAACAGAAATACAATTATAGAGCATTCAGTAATGTAAGAAAGCCCGTAATGTTTCTGAATAAATACATTATTGTATGAGTTAAGTTCTGTTCTGTTTATGTCTCTTTCCCTGTAAGTATGAAATGTCCCATGCTCCTGAATGCACCATAGCTATCTGACACTCGTGAATGCATCACACTGGTCTGTGAACGCTGTGCTGCGCGTTTGATTCTCCCCTTCAGACAAAGCTGTGCAGTTTCCAAACTCACGTCGCATCACTGTTTATTATTGTGTGTGAATAACAAGATACTACGACAAATAAATCAGCCGTACCTCTGACAAAATCTTTGGATTTCATGTTGTTCATAACACCCGTACTTTTGCAAATGAATCTAACAAATAACCACAATTTATTCCCATGAGAGGAATATTTGTACAGAGCTAGGCGCGGATGCATTTTTCGGCATAACACCGGACAGCGGACTGCTGGAGTCCCTATGTCCTCCAGCAGTCTAAGCCTATAGCAGCATAACTATAGAGATAGTTCATAATGGAGGATGAACCTTCATGGAATTTAAAACAGCAGATCCAGTCAGGTCACCTGAGAGTCAAACCGACCCATTTCAGAAAACTATTTCTGCTTAGCTTTATCAAATCACACTTAGATGTGAATTAAGTTTTAGTTTGATTTTGTTTGATCATCACAAAAGCAAATATATTGTGTCATCCCGAATTGAATGAGACAATTTCTGCAATGATAGATTGCTTTAAAAAATGCATTATTCTGCTGATCTATTGACAGATATCCCAGCATGCACCTTAGATGCCCTCCAGCAGTCCAAAGTTTACCAAAAGGAGCAGAGACGTCAGTTTAAGGAGCTGAAGGAGCTGGTCAGGAGACACCAGAAGAAAACTGCAGAGCTCCTCCGAGAGTTTAGCAACAAGTATAAGAAGACGGCAAGACAGTGCAGCAAGAGCAGGTGAAAAAAGCATCTCATAAAGGAAAGTTATATAACAGCTAGTCACTTTCAAGGGTTATATAAAAAATGAGCACTGCAGAAATGTTTCACTAAGGAGCAATGAGCAATAAATGATCATTTTAGATAGAAAAAAACCCAAAAAATGGTATAAAGGACTAGAGATGCCGCTTTAGATGGAAAAGTTGGTGCGGAACTGGTGACCAATGACATTTTAACATAATTTACGAGGTCCAACAATAAAAATGGCCACGCCCACCGAGCGTAGTTGATGTCATCATCCAAAGTTTTACCGACATTTCTAAGGGCGAAGAGGCACCTTCCTCTTCACTAACAGCATCTTAACCAGCTGGGATGTAGGGGCAGAGTCATCATCGATGTTAGGCATTAGGCATTAGCTGAACTGTTGGCTAATGTTGATTCATGAGGACATTTTTTATTAGAAAATAAAAATGTTTGTACGGTGGCCCTGAAGTGCAAACTGCAACTACAAATCTAAAAGCGCAACTACATTAAGAAAATCAAAACTACATAAAGCAAAGCGCAACTACATTAAGAAAAACACAATTACATTAACCTACCGGAAAAGGTAGGTAGCAGTGGGAAACATGAGACATCGCTGATTGGACGACGGCGCCGTTTGACCCTTGAACCGGAAGTTGCGTCATCTGAACAGTCCAGCTTCTTTTAAGTGTACGCAAACTACCGTAACTGCAATTTGGTGATTAGTCTTGAGCATATCCAGTATCACCTCGTACGTATGTCCTGATTCAAAATATTCCTGGATAACGGCAGCTATGTTTGGGGCGCCGACAATATCCATGTTTTCAAAAGCCGCAGCAGGCAGAATGACTTCCGGTTCAGGGGTCAAACGGCGCCGTCGTCCAATCAGCGATGTCTCATGTTTCCCACTGGTACCTACCTTTTCCGGTAGGTTAATGTAATCTTGTTTTCCTTAATGTAGTTGCACTTTGCTTTATGTAGTTTTGTTTTTCTTAATGTAGTTGCGCTTTTAGATTTGTAGTTGCAGTTTGCACTTCAGGGCCACCGTATGTTTGACTAGCTCAATTTATATTAACTACTAACTTCAGCTTGTAGAACCACAATTGACGCCCACATGCTCTGCACTTATAGAAACAGATGTTATAAGGATTTATTCATAAAACATACAACTCACTATGGAGTGAATTTTGGTCCATTATTGCTGCTGCTAAAGTACATGTTTCTTATGGAAATAAAAAGAAAAACATTTCTTAAATTGAAATCTAAAAAAAAACAAATGCAATCCAGAAATGAAACTTTTGGAGGGTAACCTTTTAACCGCTTATCATATTTTTTCATATCTATTTTAATATTTTATGTTATAAAGGGTTAATACTTAAAAAATATAGTTTTACAGATTTTATTATTTCTTTTTCTTTTCAAATTTGTTTTAGTTTGAATTTTACAAATTCCCTTGTTTTTCAAGAACCTTTTAGAGATCACATTCTCTTTACTGAAGGACAAATACTAATGTTCAATGTTGATCTGTAATGATTTTGCTAATATCCATGCACACCACAGATCCGTAAAATGCAATTTGAAAAGAATGCAATTTATTTAATTCAGTTTAAAAAGGAGAAATTTGGAAAAATAATGAAAACATAAAATTTACAAAAAGACTTTTGTTTTAAATATATATGTATTTGAGAATATAAAATCTGTAAAAACGTATTTTGAAAAAATTACTTTTAAATTTTTAAAATATGAAAAATACATTTGGGAAAAAAAATGAAAAAAGTTTCTCCCAAAACCCTTTCAGAATGAAAACATTTTTCAAAGTTTGATTTCTGGATTGTATTTTTTTTTTTTTTTTTTTATTCACAAAGATGTTCTTTGTTTGCAAGAATAAAGGTACAATATTAACTCCATATGTATGCTTGCTCTTAATTTGGGCATTAGATGAATTGCTAATGGTATTTGCGTACATTTGCCCTTAAAATAAGATAATGAAGTTATTTTTTCTTATTTTTTTATTCTAACAGCAAATTGTCTTATCTGCTCAAATCATCAAGATCATCATCTGTTAGACTGATGTCAAACTAATTGGTAATTGGCCTTAAAGAACCTGAATCTGTCAATCTGCAAGGCCAAATTTATATTGCCTTCCATGCTATGTTCAACCTTGGTTTGTCATATAAAAAGAAAGGAAATTCCCTGAAGTCTGATACACTATATTGCCAAAAGTATTTGCTCACCCATCCAAATTATTGGAATCAGGTGTTCCAATCACTTCCATGGCCACAGGTGTATAAATTCAAGCACCTAGGCATGCAGACTGTTTTTACAAACATTTGTGAAAGAATGGGTCGCTCTCAGGAGCTCAGTGAATTCCAGCGTGGAACTGTGATAGGATGCCACCTGTGCAACAAATCCAGTCGTGAAATTTCCTCGCTCCTAAATATTCCACAGTCAACTGTCAGCTGTATTATAAGAAAATGGAAGTGTTTGGGAACGACAGCAACTCAGCCACGAAGTGGTAGGCCACGTAAACTGACGGAGCGGGGTCAGCGGATGCTGACGCGCATAGTGCGAAGAGGTCGCCAACTTTCTGCAGAGTCAATCATTACAGAACTTCAAACTTCATGTGGCCTTCAGATTAGCTCAAGAACAGTGCGCAGAGAGCTTCATGGAATGGGTTTCCATGGTCGAGCAGCTGCATCCAAGCCATACATCACCAAGTGCAATGCAAAGCGTCGGATGCGGTGGTGTAAAGCACGCCGCCACTGGACTCTAGAGCAGTGGAGACGCGTTCTCTGGAGTGACGAATCGCGCTTCTCCATCTGGCAATCTGATGGACGGGTCTGGGTTTGGCGGTTGCCAGGAGAACGGTACTTGTCTGACTGCATTGTGCCAAGTGTAAAGTTTGGTGGAGGGGGGATTATGGTGTGGGGTTGTTTTTCAGGAGCTGGGCTTGGCCCCTTAGTTCCAGTGAAAGGAACTCTGAATGCTTCAGCATACCAAGACATTTTGGACAATTCCATGCTCCCAACTTTGTGGGAACAGTTTGGAGCTGGCCCCTTCCTCTTCCAACATGACTGTGCACCAGTGCACAAAGCAAGGTCCATAAAGACATGGATGACAGAGTCTGGTGTGGATGAACTTGACTGGCCTGCACAGAGTCCTGACCTCAACCCGATAGAACACCTTTGGGATGAATTAGAGCGGAGACTGAGAGCCAGGCCTTCTCGTCCAACATCAGTGTGCGACCTCACAAATGCGCTTCTGGAAGAATGGTCAAAAATTCCCATAAACACACTCCTAAACCTTGTGGACAGCCTTCCCAGAAGAGTTGAAGCTGTTCTAGCTGCAAAGGGTGGACCGACGTCATATTGAACCCTATGGATTAGGAACGGGATGTCACTTAAGCTCATATGTGAGTCAAGGCAGGTGAGCAAATACTTTTGGCAATATAGTGTATGTTATATATAGACTAGCCGCTGTAGCTACAGGTTTTAGGTTAATATGATGATGCCTTGGTGTTTGTCAGGGGTTCGTCTTCAGAGGGCGAGAAAGACGAGCGTCTCCAGCAGCTGAAAGATGAGCAACAGCAGCAGCTCTTGGCTCTGAGGCAGGAGCAGTACTACAGCCAGAAGTATCTGCAGAGAGAACACATTAAGATGGTAAAGTTTGACACTATAGACATCCGAACAGAGCGGAGTGTTTAACTGATGCATGTTTCTGTGACAGAGAATCTCTGTTTCCTCCAGCTTACAGAGCGACTGACCAGTCTGGCCGAGGAGAGCCACAATTCCCAGATGAAGAAGCTCAAAGATATCTGTGACAAGTAAGGATATATACCCAGGTGGAAACAACTTTTGGTAACCATCATTTAATGATAGAAAAACCTACACTGGTCACAGAATTAACTTGAATCTGAAAAAGTTATGATAAATAAGAATTGTATGAAAATCACCAAATAATAGATGTTTGATGGTTTAGATCTGGCATCTGCATCCTCCAAAGGCCAGATTCTTCGTACGATTAAAGTCATAGCCTGTTCCGATTAGACGACTCCTCGTTATGCAGCCGACAAATGCAGCCTTCTTTTTACCGTTCTGAAGGACAGCTCGGCTGTATCCTCTGTATCCCATGATTCATTGCGAGTCCAAGCAAGCCGATGTTCTGTCAGAACAGCGTAGGCTGTCAGCAGGGCCGGCGATTGCTATAGGCGAGCTAGGCAATTGCCTAGGGCGACAAATGTGTTGGGGGCGCCCTCTATACTTAGCGTCGCCCTTAGGCTTACTTCCCATTAATCATAGAATTAGAAAAAAAAGCGAATTAAACCGGTTATGAAGCGTCCGTCAGTTTGACTTAAGCTTACGTATATATAAATAGCAAAATATGAACAAATAAATATACCACCGTTTTTTTATTTATTTTTTCACATTTAAGAGAAAATCGGAAAATATTCTGATCTCTTTTCAAGCGCCCTCCAACCCGGAAGTCGTGGCGTCAATCACTGCAGCATGTACACCAATATTTTGGAATGAAATTGTAAGCAAACAGATATTAAAAGTAAAACAAGTGAATTCTGACACTTAACTTTGCTCGCGACTCGAGGATGGCTGAACGGAAAAGACTCCCCTCTCCTCCTCCAGCTGCTGCCGCAGTCGGCCCGTCTTAATCATCCACTCAGAGTACCACTGGTAAGCGCACACAGACTTTGTAGCTTGTCCGGTCAGTTAAAAATATTAATTGTGAAATCCGTCTTGTAATCGGAAGCATACAAGCTAGTTAGCTTGAAAAGTAAATAAAGTTTCAGACGTGCTGCGTGATGATGTGTTCAGATTGGCTCAGTAAAATGACAATTAGGTTATCATGATGCGTTCAAGTGTAACGTAAAGAAAACGGGAAATTTTGTTTTTGGCGAAAAACATGAGTAATACAGTTGTATATGCTCTATATATAATTAAACTACTGATGCCAACATTTATTAAAAATTACATTTAATTTAAAATACATTATTTATTTGTTAAATATTTTCCTAATCACTAAAAACATGATGAAAAGTGACAGTAGACAATACATTAACCAACAATTGTGAAAATATATTCTAGTTAGTTTTATGTCATTTCCAAGTGGCCTATTACATTAGCCATGTTTATTGAAGGCTAGAAACGTTTTTGTTATGCTCACTTGTTAAGCAATAGAAGCAATACCAGTTCTGTTAATAAAATTTTGTTGCATCGTCTTTCCACCAAATAACAGAAAAGTATCGATAGTGGTATCGATAAAGACTCGGATCGATAAGGAGTATCGATAAAGGTATCGATATCAATAAATATTAACGATCCCCATCCCTAATGTTGACATTTTTTTCTCAGAATTATGTGCTATATTATTAGCTTGAGAATGGGTAGAAGATACTAATATAAATAAAATATTTTGTAGTGATTATCTGCATTGAGTATTCAAAAGGGATGTACAAATAATCATCAAAATATATGAAGTTATGGCTGTTCATCATAGAATATGTGAACAAAAAAAAAACAACAACTTCAAACTTTTAATTTTGTAATGGTATTCATAAAAGCACTTTTGTTTGTAGAGGGTTAATCCTTTCTTTAATCACTAATCAATGTCAGAAATCAGGGTAAATATACCTGATATATTTTATTTAGAGGAAAATTTTGTTTATCTCATTTCTATTTATGTTCAAATGATTTAATTGAACTGGAAAAGAAAAATTAATTTAATGTTTATCAATTACTTTTTTATGTAGTCCTTGGTTGAAGAATTTCTTAAATTTATTATTTTTTATTGTTATTTGGTAATTTCTGAAATTGATTTATTTAATATTTGTTTAATGTGTGTTAAATTTGTTAATTGTCTGAAATAAATTCATTCAATGATTCAATCCAGTTTTTTAGTTATACTTTACCTAAGTGTCCTTACAGATGGTTAAAAGTGTTTTTGCACAGTCCTAACTTTGAGTGTGTAATAAATTATTTAAAATAAGAGGTACTGAAACCTATTCTGGTATTTGTCTATGCATCACTCCATGCTAAGTTACAGTTTTTTCTGAATGCTTAAACACAACCTTGATTCTTATAGCACAATTTCTAAAACTATTAATACTTATAGCAAATCCACTCACTGAGTTCACAAAACTATAAGAACAAACACTGCTTTGCACTCAATTTGCAATTTTGTAACACACACTTTGCACAACTGTAGGCACAATTCACCGCACAGCACTCTTTGTGGAACTGTAAACACAACTCAATGAAGCACTAAACAGATGCTGAAAACAGTATTCGTATTTCGCACGGCAAAAGTGAGCGGGGGGGTGGGGGGGTGGGGGTGGGGGGGGGGCGCAAAACTCAATCTCCCCTAGGGCAACCAAAGGGCTAGAACCGGCCCTGGCTGTCAGATCGGCATACATTGTTCTAATATCATACATGCACACGCACAACAGAGAATTATTCCCACATTGAATTTTAGCAGCAGTTTAACGACCAGCAAAAACATGTTTATTTTAACTTTTAAAGAAGAAAATCAGCTTTGATTATACTGTTATTTGGTGGATGTAGAAATGTCCAGACGAGATTGAAGTTTCTAGGATGTTGAGAGAAGAAGACTCTTTAGCTAAAACCATATTAGTCTATATTAATTTAAAATAATTTACTTTAGTAGTAAAAAATGTGCTGGAAATTAAATCTGGTTACAGTTTTTTTCATATTAAAAATCATAGAAAACATTGGCTGTGGTTTTTATTGTGACCTGGAATGAATTCAGGTTAGATAAAAACGAATCGTATGCCGATCTGACAGCGTTTGCTGTTCTGACAGAACACCGACTGCTCCGTGCTCAGGAGAGAAAAGGAAATGCTGCCAAACAGTGGTGAATATTGGAAGTGCAGTTTAATATGATACAAGTATGTGAATAGTTCTGTCTGACATTAATGAAAATAGTTGTTTTAAAGGTTATTGAGTCAGATAAAGTATGTGGAGGGTAATGTTTGGTTTACTGAAAGTTTTATCAGCCCTCTGCAAATGGGTTTGTTCTCTGCTCAAAAATGTATTCATTAAACTTTTCTCTATATATGTACTTCTCATGTGCTGGAAAAACGTCATCAGCCATAAGCCCTGCTACTGTTCCAATTCACAAGAACAGCAGACCAAGTTCTCGGATGTTGTTCTCGCCCCTCCCTCTTTACCCAGCATGCATCAGGGCAGACTTGTCAGGTCTTGAGATTGACAGCTGTCCCAGAATGCACTGGGGCAGCAGCAGCTTCAAATGGAGCGCTCACAGAGCTCAGAGTATGAAGTTAAAAGTTCTCTTTTCTGTTGCTGTTGTTTAAGATCATTTAAAGTGAAAACATTATACTTTAAGTGTCCCATTTAAATGGCCCATTAACTGATTTAATGCGTAATTTGAAAACAAAATTCCGAAGTTGAGAGGACCGCAGCAACCAGCAGACCTCTGAGGGTAACAGCAGCCAGGTCTAATCCTAGCCCGTCTGCAGCAGCCCTCTCTCTGCATCGCCATGTGTGAAGGACCGCTGGCTCTGATGACGAGTTTTTATGTTTTATTTGGCAAAACGTTCAATTGATTTGTGTTTATCTGACTGTGTTCATTATCATTCCCCCACTAAATGAAAAAAGTCATAATTTATTATTATCTAGAGACTATTAATAAGAGGAGGTGAAATGCAGCTCCAGACAAGGCGAGCGTGTGGTGATATCAGTACGCTTCTGTTCCAATTGACCCAGATTTATGCTGCGTGCTCGCGTTCTCACCAAGTACACACTTTCCTGTGTTCTCCTCAAGAACTTACTTGGCGAGGACATGAGTCTGTACTCGCATTCTTGTGAATTGATAAGCAGCCATTGTTTGCCTGCTTTGTGTGTCAACTGCCACGGTTGCTAGGCAACAGCGCGTATGGACAGCGAAAGCCGGAAAACGCTCGACCTGTTTGAACCCATAGCCAAAGCTCTTCCGTTCTCCTTATTTTCCCTGACCTGGAAGGATCCAGTCCAGGTAGACTGGGTCCTTGGAGGATGCAGCCTCTAAAATCGAACATAGCTATTGCTTTTCAACCATGCTTTAACAGAAGACCTTTAAAAGATAAACTCATAAAATCAGGCCTGGAAAAAATGATGGTACCCCTAGAAAAGATGGAAAATAATGCGACCATAGGGACATCAAGATGTGTTCACAAATTAGTGTCACAGGTGTCTACAATCGTTTAATCAGTCAATGGGTCTATAATTAGTCACGGTGATGTTCGGTGACATGGTGTCTACCACACTCAACATGGACCAGAGGAAGAGAGGGAGAGTTGACTCAGGAAATGAGAAAGAAATTTATAGACCAGCATGTTAAAAGTAGAGGCTTTGCGTTTCATAAAACAGGAGAGATGGACCCAGTATTCAGGGTAAGACAGCCAGTAGGACAGTTCAAAACGTTTATTAGAACAAAAACATGAACAAATGGAAACTAAAGTGGAGCTGCAAGGATCTGCGGCTCGCGGATGCTGCAGGAGGAGGGGCGGGGGACTTCCCAATCTTTGACACTCTGTGGGAGAAACACTGGTAAGTGACCACGATCATCTGACAGAAGATGATGATCTCAGTGAGTCACTTACCTGGTTTAACAGTTCAGTCCATCACCCTTGAAGGGGGTGCTATCCAGCAGATGGGCTGACAGCTGACGTGGCACGCGTCACCCAGAGTATCGCCGGTGCTGCAGCTCCGGAGGACTAGCTGGAAGCCGATCCGGGCCAGGGATGCAGAACAGGCAGGAACAGACAGATGAAACAGGATCCAGGCTCCCTGGCGGGTTCAGAGTCCAACAGAGTCCAGAAGCGTGACCAGGCAGACACGCACAGGAACAGACAGGATCAGGTGCTCAGTGGGAGAGGGTAGCAGAGACAGGACGTGGAACCCGAACTTGATGCAGGACCTTTAAACTGATCTCCTCCTTGGAGCCAGGCTTACTGGAATAAAAACTGATCCTTCCCGCGTTTAGAGCCAAAAACCCAAAGGACTCATTAGGGGAGGAACAGTGGACAATTAGGAGACGAGACAAACACAAAACCCTCTTTCCACTGGCCGCCTGGATCCAGGACATGAACCTTGGAATAAACAGAACTAAACAGAAAACAACATTTAATGATCTGGCCATGATAGCTGGGATTGAGCCCAATATAAGGGAAACTGGCAGATGGATGAGATAAGTGATAATTAGGAGGTGGAAAGAATGAATCAGGTGAACGGTATGAGTAATTAAGAGCAGTTATCAGAGCAGATCATGACAATGAGACCATCTCCACGCAGCCTGATGTTCCTGTGACTAAAGTTGCTCATATTATTCAACAATTTAAGATCCAGTATACTGTAGCTGTGTCGACATGGCCGCAGGAGGAAAATTAATGCCAAGTTAAAGAGATCCTGGAAAAACTTCTAAAGAGATTGAAGGGGAACTTCAAGCTCCAGGAACATCAGTGTCAGATCACATCATCTGTCGTTGTTTGAGCCAAAAGTGAACTTAATGGAAGTTCTAAAAAAATTTCCAAGTTTGAAGATGCTTCACTTTTCCATCCAAGAAGCTTTTTCAATTCAAAATGTCAGAAATAGCGTTGAGTTCCACGCCTTATAGAGTGGACCAAAAACAAAGCCTTGTTTTGGCTTAGAAAACTGGCATGTTTTCAAATGGAAAATGAAAAAATACATATTTGAAACTTTGAAAAAAAGTTTTTTTCAAAGTGAAATAAAAGGTTTTGAGAGTGATGTTGCTGTTTTTTATTACTAAGTTTTATTTCTTGAGGTATTTATTTTACAGATTCTATATTTTCAGATTTTTTTTTTTTCAAAAAATATTGTACAGATTATACATTAACTTTTTTATAAATTGGATTCTTTTCAAACGTTATTTTACAGGTCACATTCTCTTTACTTCAAGCACAATACAAACACTTGCTCTTAATGCACACAAAAGGTTGCTGATGTCTTGCAGACTGACACAAATGCATGATGGTTCCTCACTCCATATGTGCAAAAGAAATCCATTTGTAAACCTCAGTCTGAAAAATAGGAATTTGAATGAAAAAGAAGGAACATGTAAAGGAATAAAAAAATAATAATTTGAAAGATTTTAATGGAAAAAAATACTTTTTTTAATTTTACAAATTTCCATTTACAGAAGGTGTTGATTGCTTGCAACAACAATGGAACAACATTTATGCCATAAACTTAACCTCAAGATTAAGTGCATCACCAAGTGGAGTAGTTGGTGCTGCACTTAGGTTTAGAAAACCAGAGAAATCCACCTTATGAACCAAGCTTTGAGTTTACTCTGCAGGACTTCACTATCAGCTCAAATGTTTCTGCTGCAGGGAGAAGAAGGAGCTAAAGAGGCAGATGGATCGACGGAGAACTGAGAAGATCAACCAAGCCAAGACCAAAGAGAAACATCTGGCTGAGGAGTACGATCTATACAGACACACGAGGAAAAATAATATTTTTCTCCTCTTTCTAAAGCATAGATCTCTATGTTTAACTGTGCAGCAGTGGAATTAACAGCTTTCTGTGTCTTAGGGAGAAGAATGAGATCAACAAGTCTTACGTCAATGAGGTTGTGCAAAATATCAAGCGGGTGAGGAGCCTGCCTTCCAGGAACTTAGTATGAACTATTTTAGCTATTGAACATGACTGAGTGGATGTGAAAATAATGTTCTTTGTCCTCAGCTTGAGGAAACTCAAACCAAACGTCAAGATCAGCTGGTGGAGCAACACAATGACCTGCTGCAGGAGATCCAAGACCAGAAACCAAAGGTAAGTAACCGATCTATCTTCAAGCATCACACGACAACCACGATCACCAAGACTTCTGTAATGCGGTTTTTGCTGGCTTTAGTTATTAACACAGACGTGACAGTGACTTCTGCTGCTTTCTAACATCCACACTTGCACCAAGCCAGCCAGACACCCACTCACACGTACTCACCACATCAGCAGGGTTGCCAGATGTCACTGACAACGTTTTCCAGACCGAAAAGTGAACCAAGTCTATTTGCATGTTTTCTAAAGGCTTTGTTGGGCTACTGTATAAAGCCTTAAACTTAACGCTATTCCTGTGATTTTGAATCAAAAAAGCTTCCTGGATGGGAAGCGAAACGTCTGCACGCTGCAAAAAAATTGAAATCTCTATAAGTTATTTTTTATTAAAATAAGTGAACTTTTTCTTGAGTCGAGGAGGTCAGTGAGACACTTTGCCAACAGAACTAGACAATTTATTTTTAAAATAAGAAAAATCAACTGCAGTCTCTTATTTCAGGTGCATATCATCTAATTATCTTTTTTTAAGAATAAAAAACTAATTCTGTGGGCAAATAATTTTGTTTACCTACCTAAGATAAGTTACCCAAGTTAAGGCTAAGTTACTTAAGTTAAGGCTAAATACACTTCATTTAAGAAATGTTTACTTATTTCTAGATGGTTTTTGCATTGCAAACTGGGAAACAAAGTCCAGTGGATTGTTTTTTCAATTTTTTTGGAACACCATTAAAGTGTATATATTACAAATGTTGGAAATAATTTACAACCTTTATCTACATATTAGACCATTTTTTGTACTGTTCCTCTTCAGTACTCCACTCACTCCTTAAAGTCATTTTGGCTTAAACACATATATAAATGTACTCTTTATCAGACCATATTGTCCCAAAATTTAGAAAATGTATGTATTTAAAAAGATCCTGTCTTAAAATCTGTGTTTTTTCATTATCTTATCCAGGCCAGCTAGTTATACGTCAGCCTGAACACCTAAATTCAGCCAATCATATATCAACGGTCATCTGTCGATCACATTTTTTCGGTCATACCATCTTGATTCATATGTCGCAACGGTTGAAATCAGAATCATTTCCTTTCCCATTGAGTTCCGTCCCAGTGTTCACGGGGATGGACGTCTGTGTCTTCAGCAGGCGTAGAGCTAACAGAACTGGCAGCGTTGCGAGGCAAGGGCTCAAACATGTACGGCTGTAAGCCTTCTACACCAAACCAAGTGTCAAGGTTTGGTAGTGGTTTAGAGGAGCCAAATGCAGAGGCAGAGCGGCTGAGGTGAATACTTGTAGTTTTAATGATGAAAATGGTTAACAAAGGCAGGAATCCAAAAATCGAACTTAAAAAGTAACAGACCAGAACCATGGAGACGTCAAAGGAAAACAAGTACAAGGAGCCAGGGAGAGACGAGGTGAGACGACAACAGCGATGACAGGACCAGCAACAACAAGGAACCAACAAAGAGTGAGAGCAGAGGGAGAGCATATATAGCTCACAAACAGAGGGCTAATGAGCTGAAAAGGAGCAGGTGTGAGAGGAGACAACGAGGGAGCCAAGGGGAAAGGAACACACACACACAGACGGGCAACAGAAAAACATGACAACTAACAATAAATCTAGAAATTACAACAAAAAGGAATTAAACCAATAAAACTAGGAAACATAGAGCAAAGTAAAGCACAATATAACCAAAACCATGACACCAAGCTTCTGCCGCCCTGGCCTCCTCTTCCACAACATCTTCGTCCCCGCTTTCCTACTCTAAATAAAAAATGGATGACGGAGGAGACTCATCCACGACCTCCGACACTAAACTCTCCTCCTCTTGCATGTTTCCTCTGTCCATAGCGTTCCTTGACAGTGTCTTAAATCGTTTCTAAGTCACCAATTTAGTGCTACTTGGTCCCAATGGAATTTCCCATTGGGAACCTACTAGCACTAAGTTGCTAACTGGTTAGCAAGATGCTTCAGACAAACCGGCCACAACCAAACTTGCCAATCAATCACTGCCAGGCCAATTCAGTGACTTAGACAGATTTATTTTTTCCTTTTGTAAACACAAGAGTAGACAAAAATAAATTTCGTTTAGAACAGCTCTCTAGACAATTTCATTTTTGAAATTGCAGCCCTTATAAGGTAAGCAGCAGTTGTTGTTGAGCTGCTACTACTGCCTCCAGCTCCTGAAGCACTTGCTTCTCCTGGCTCAGGGTAGGAAGAGGACGATGATGACAATGCTGTGACGGTGGTAGCCCCCTGGGTTGAAGAGGCTGACATGGTTAAAGCAGCACAATCCATTGCCCTACTAGCATAGGAGATATGGTAGATCTTTATTAGTTTCAACTTGGAAAAGCTCAGATATTGCTCTGGTGGCAGGTGTTTTTGTCCATAATATTTGTCCAGAAAATTTGCCAGTGTTGTTTTGGTAACATTTTACATTCCACCTTCTGCTGTTGCCAACACTGTGTGTGATGTCATTGACTGTTGTGTCTAAGTTGCAGACACAACAGCAATATGAATTGCAGCAATAAAAAATACAAATGTAAATGGTTCTTCAGTTGCAGGCAGCCGTGGAGGCAGAGTTCCAGGAGAAGTTCCAGCGTTTACCCGGTGAAATCCAAGACTTCCTGCAGGACAGGAAGCTGGAGGGCAGAGGTCACAGCAAGTCCCGCCCATCAACTCCTCACGAAACTCTTTCAGAGGAGGATTGAAAAGAAAAAGAAAAGAAAGGAGGAGAGGGAGGAATGATTCAGATAATGAAATTCTGAACAGAGGGCGGAGCCTTGCTGATGAAGTAAATATTTATAAAGACTGTTATTAATTGTCTTTTTAATGAAACAAAAACAACTTTGAAAGATTTTTAAATTATTTAAAGCATGCATTGTGTTGTACTTCCAAATTTAATCAAATGTTATTCAGTTTTATGTTCAAACAACAATCTCACAACTTACTGCATGATCGATCTATCTATCTCTCTATCTATATCATCTATCTCTATCTATATCATCTCTCTATCTATATCATCTATCTCTATCTATATCATCTATCTATCTACATCATCTATCTATCTCCCTGTATCTATCTATCTATCTCTATCTATCTATCTATCTATCTATCTATCTATCTATCTATCTATCTATCTATCTATCTATCTATCTATCTATCTATCTATATCATCTATCTATCTATCTCTATCTATCTATATCATCTATCTATCTATCTATCTCTATCTATCTATATCATCTATCTATCTCTATCTATCTATCTATCTATCTATCTGAACTGCTACTTTCATTAAATGTTATTATTTAAACAGTATTTTTATGGAGTAATTTTTTTTTTCATTATTCTTACAAGCAAAGAACATGTTTTGTTAATGGAAATTGAAAAAAAAACTGAGATTGAATCTGTTTTTATGTTTGATATATTTTTCTTTTTTTTTAGTCTTATAATTGCATTCCTTTGTTTAACAGATCACATTTCTAACTTTTCTTTACTTGTTGCAGCTAATGTCCAGCAGACCGATAGAAAAGCAACTTCACTCCTCACTTGAGAGGAAAGCCCACCTCTAGAAGTGAAGGGCACTGTAAAACATATCCTATTAAAAAATGCAATTTTGAGAAAATGAAAGTTGAAAATAAAAAATACAAAAAAATTAGAAAAGATCATTAGAAAAAAAAATGTAAACACAAAATTACGAGGGGAAAAAATACTTGAAAAATAGAATCACCAACTTTATTCTGAAAAGCTTTTTTTTTATTAGAAAAGTTAATCAAAGTTTCATTACTGGATGACAATTTTATTTTATTTATTTATTTTGCTAAATTTCCATTTAAAAAACATGTTCATTGCTTAAAACAGTAATGGAGCAGAAGCCATTGTGTTCATATTTGTATTTGTAACCCACACCTACACAGCCTGATGTTTCCATGCAATGCTAAAGGGTTTGAAACAGAGGAAGCAAGTCATAGCATATTGTATGTCATAATTAGGAAATATAAAGAAATTATTTTGAGATAAACAGTCATATTATTGAAAGTCATAAAGTTTTAATTTCAACGTCAAAGTTACTTCAACCATGTACGCAATGGACCGTAAAGGTGTATTTTAACTTAATGAATAAATGGAAAGGCATCAGCAATGTCCTTCCAGAAGCAATTGCTGCAGCGCATTAATCCATGAAAGCTTCTTAGGCTGTTTGCAAACATAGTAAAGTCTGCCACTCTATGGTGTATATACAAAAGAGGATTTAAAAAAAAAATTTTTTTTTGTCCTTCCCGGCAGATTTAACATAAACTCGGATTATGCAACGTTTGGGGAAATTGCAAAAAAAAAAAATAAATATAAAAAATGTATAACTAACATCTGTATTACAGAACAGATGTAACAAGAGAGTTAAAATTAAAAAATCTTCCATTTAAAGGAGAAGTCTGGTCAGCAATGAATAATCAATGGATCTTTATTTATACCTAAAACTAATATGTTCCGAGTGCTGCTTGCAGTGCATAGCATCAGAGATTGAACGAACAGATACTGCAGAATGGAATAATTGAGATAGAATGAAACAGATAATGAAAAGGGGTCCCCATGTCCTCCAACAGTCTAAGTTTATAGATTCTATATAATCCAACATCATCCCAATATATAGCTGAAGTTAAATCCCTTGAGAGAAAAAAACTTGTTCAATTAAAATTAAAATTACAGTCTCGCCGTCTGCTTGACCAATTTGACCCTTCCTAAAGATAAAAGTTTTTTTTAAAGAGGCATTGCCAGGTTATTTACACACCTGGATATTATGAGATGTCACCGATCATTGAGTTAGAGCAGAAATGATATTAATAAAAAATATTCTCTTGTGAAATCCTTCACCCCCCTTGAACTTTTTGACATATTGCCACATTTCATGCTTCAAACATTAAGATATAAACTAATGCTTTGTGAAGAATAAACAAGGAGGACACAATCATGAAGTGGAACAAAATTATGTTAAATTTAAATCTTTTTTAACAAATAAAAAGCTAAAGCGTGGGGCGGTAAAATGAATGTGCTCCTTTATTTCCAGTGCAGCAATCTCCTCCAGAGGTTCAGTGAGGATCTCTGAATGATCCAATGTTGTCCACCTCTGTATAATCCATATAAATGCTTCTGCACTGTGATCGACTCAGAGCTCTGTTTAAAGCGCAGAGAGCACCATGAAGAACAAGGAACACATCCGGCAGCTCGGAGAGACTGTAGAGGAGACGTTTAAAGCTGGATTTGGATCCAAAAAGATTATGTTTGGCATAAAAGCAACACAGCACATCACCCAGAACATTCCATCCCCACTGTCAAACATGGTGGTGGCAGCATCATGGTTTGGGCCTGCTTTTAGTCAGCAGGAACAGGAAAGACGGATGGAGCTAAACACAGGAGCATTCTGTATTAAGGTCTACATGGGCCGGGTCCTTAGGAAGGCAACATTGCCATACATGTATTTCTGGTACAGACTGACTGAGCGGGCAGTGCCCTCTGCTGTATGACCAAGGGTACTACCCACAAGTCACGCATCAATTATACCTGTGTGACATTTGGAGCACAAGTGAAAAGGAAGGTGTAATTTGTAAAGTTGAATTTCTGACTCACAGCTGCAGATTCATGTAGTTACATTCACTGGTCTTCCCAGAACACTATTTGTGAAATTGTAGTCAAGAAATAAAAGAGGTGTAGCTTTTTTTTTGTAGTTGTGACACATAATCCATGGTCTGTCATCTCCTCCACTCAGTCAGTTTATAAAGATCAGGAACACACCGACTGTGAGGCGAGGGACAACACAGGAGACTGTGTTGTCAAAGAGCTTTTGCAGCTCAGGAGTGAAACTCTTTCCCTCAACATCAGAGAACATTTAACATTCACTCTTTTCAAAAAGCATCTCAAAAACTGGCTCATAACACATATTAACAAACCAAGCTGCCACTTGGGTCTATATATATATATGTGTGTATACTGGTCAAAAAAATCAAAGGAACACTTTGAAAACACATCAGATCTCAATGGGGCAAATAATCATGCTGTTTATTTCTACTGACATGGACTGGGTGATGTGTTAGGAACCAAAGGATGCCACATCATTTGATGGAAATGAAAATTATCAACCAACAGAGGGCTGAATTCAAAGACACCCCAAAAATTACAGTGAAATGATGCAGCAGGCTAGTCCATTTTGCTGAAATTTCATTGCAGCAACTCAAAATGGTATTCAGTCATTTGTATGGCCTCCATGTGAGTGTATGTTTGCCTGACAACGTTGGGCTATGCTCCTAATGAGACGATGGATAGCGTCCTGGGTATCTCCTCCCAGATCTGGACCAGGGCTTCACTGAGCTCCTGGACAGTCTGAGGTGCGTCGGATGGATATAAAACATAATGTCCCAGAGTTGTTCTATTGGATTTAGGTCAGGCCAGCGTGGGGGCCAATCAATGGTATCAATTCCTTCATCCTCCAGGAACTGCCTGCATACTCTCGCCACATGAGGCCGGGCATTGTCGTGCACCAGGAGGAACCCAGGACCCACTGCATCAGCGTAGGGTCTGACGATGGGTGCAAGGATTTCCCGATACCTAATGACAGTCAGGGTGCCGTTGTCTAGTATAGGTCTGTGCGTCCCTTCATGGATATGCCTCCCCAGATCATTACTGAGCCACCACCAAACCGGTGATGCTGAACGATGTTACAGGCAGCATAACGTTCTCCATGGCTTCTCCAGACCCTTTCACGTCTGTCACATGTGCTCAGGGTGAACCTGCTCTCATCTGTGAAAAGCACAGGGCGCCAGTGGCCGACTTGCCAATTCCAGTGTTCTGTGGCAAATGCCAATCGAGCTCCACGGTGCCGGGCAGTGAGCACAGGGCCCACTAGAGGACGTCAGACCACACTCGTGAAGTCTGTTTCTGATTGTTTGGTCAGAGACATTCACACCAGTGGCATGCTGCAGGTCATTTTGTAGGGCTCTGGCAGTGCTCCTCCTGCTCCTCCTTGCACAAAGGAGCAGATAGCGGTTCTGCTGATGGGTTGTAGACCTTCTACGGTCCTGTCCAGCTCTCCTGGAGTAACTGCCTGTCTCCTGGAATCTCCTCTATGCTCTTGAGATTTTGCTGGGAGACACAGCAAACCTTCTGGCAGTGACACGTATTGATGCGCCATCCTGGAGGAGTTGGACTGCCTGTGCAACCTCTGTAGGGTCCAGGTAGCGCCATGCTAACAGTAGTGACAGTAGCCAAATGCAAAACAGGTCAAAAAGAGTCAGAAAAGATGAGGAGGGGAAAAAATGTCCGTGGCCTCCACCTGTAAAACCATTCCTGTTTTGATGGTCGTCTCGTTGTTGCCCCTCTAGTGCACCTGTTGTTAATTTCATAAACACCAAAGCAGCTCAAACTGACTAACAACCCCCTCTGTTACTTACCTGACCAAATCAATATCCCAGAAGTTTAATTAACTTGATGCTATACTCTGATTACAAAGTGTTTTCATATTTGTATTTTCCATTGTAATATTCTTACTGTTGTGTTTTTCAGGTAGACAATTTTAAGATCTGTCCAGGGACAACAGATAAAAAATAGCTTTTTGGTTAATTCTGGTGCATTTGCAGGAATGCTTAGTAACGTACACTGTCCCTGTCAAATTAATAAATAAATATACAAAGAAAAACTAACATTACAAAAAAGCAAACTTACAATGCACAAATACTTTTGCAACACGTGTGAACCATTCGGAGCATAACTAAGAATGTAAGAGATTTTTGATGTGCAACTTGTAGAACACAGATTGTGAATTTCTTTTTAAATTCTCCAATTACAAAACTTATGATTTATTGATTAATCTCTGCAACTTCAAATTCACACTTACAATGCACAAATAGTTTTGATGACGGCGGGGGATTTCAGGCCGATGTCGCCCATTGCATTTTTTTTTAAGTGGGGGAGTGTGTGATATATGGAAGAGCCGCTGAAAAAATAAAAAGTTAACTGATTTTTAAATTTTATTTCAGTTTAATATGCGATTCTGAGAAAAATGTCAGAATTATTAGATTAAAGTCAGAATCCTACCTTTTTTCCCATATTAAACTGAAATAATACTTAAAAATCAGTTAACTTTTCCACTATTAGCCTACTGTGGTGAAGTTCTGTGATTGAATATTACAGAAGTTGACAATAAAAAGCCTTATAATAAATATGAATTAATATTGTTTAAAAAAAACAGTAAACAATGTAAATGCAATGAGAAAATTGTCGGAAATATAATTTCAGGTTGAATTGTTTGTATTAAAGGAAACTGCTAGTGAGCCTTTCCTGTGATTAATTGTTTGTGCCTCACTGATCACTAGTGATGGTAATGGGTCCAGGATCAGAGCTGTTTTGGACCGACTGACCTCTAAACTGTGTTTATAACAGGATCTGCCAAAATAAAAATCTGTTATCTTTGATGGTTTATCATCAAATGAATGAAGACATATGGAGCAGCCTGAAGGCAAAAGGTTTCAGCCCAGTGGAGCCATTTTGATCTGATTTCAAATCGGCTCCTAATTTGCTGGTTTTACTGTTGTTATTTAAAATAAATAAATTCTAATCCACAAATAACCGATAATCTAATCCCTTATTCACATGTTCATTTAAATTGTCCCATTTTATATATTCACATTTATAGATTTCAACTAAAAATATCAAAAATATTTTCTATTTAAACGAAAATATGAAATTATATATTATAGAAAACAATGGCTTAAATCATATTAAAGGTCATCATCCAATCAGGCTCAGTTTACTCTAAGAGGCTGCCTGTAGTGACTTTAAATGTCCAGCAGGTGTCAGTATTCTATGGAGGACCAGCTCTACCATTATTACAAAATAACTACAGAAATAAGCATACAATTAATAGCCCCCAAAAAGACAATAAACAAATAAATGTAGGTGGAAATTAAATTATAAAGTGAGACATAAATGTATATATCTCTTCTAATTAGCCTCCTTTTATATTCACCTTCGTAATAATTACATTATTTATTTATTGTCTGTTATAATCTTCAACTTTATTTTAAGTATTTATTTATGTGCATCCTATAATATTTTGGTCTGTTTTATTCTTCCATTGTATTTTTTATTTTTTTTTGTACCGTATTTATTTCTGCCTGTCGGTTTTACATTTCTGCCTCATAATACAAATGAGGTCAACTTCTGACACATTATCAGAACAAAATATCAATGCAGTTTGCTAGGGTGTGGAAACGCTTCATGACGCCTCATAAAAGCATCACTACCTCTGATCTCTGTTTATTCACTGGATTGCTGATAGCCTGTTGGTAAATTAGGTTGAAGGGAAGTCACCAGCCGCCATATTGGTACTCCCTAGTTGGAACTGGTTGCAATATAAACAATCTGTGCGCTACAGCATTGAACAGCGATGATGTTCTCATTTTCAGGGGGCTTATAATAAAAAAATAGGCGTATCACATTGCATAGTCATTATGAAGTCTACACATCATGTAATGTAACATATACAAATCCATCACAACAAAATGAATGTGTTAATGGAGCATTATAATACAGGTGTGCCTAAAGTGCTAAATTGATGATGCATATGTAATATACATGTATTGATTAGATTTCTATGGTAATCACATATTACATATGATTTCAAGATTTTAAATCAAGGCTGAATTACAAGAACGTGTCTGTTAATGCTGTAGTACTTTCCTGTTTGCAAATTGTGCATGAATGAAGCCATATACTTTATGCTGTGTCTCTGTGCATTAGACTCTAAAATGTTTGAGTTGCTTTTTTATCGTCAACATAACATGCAATATATTTCATGACTTTTTCAAATGAGAAATACAACAAACACTACAAACGACAGCCTCATGCGCTTAATAAAGAATTACTACATTTACATTTCACAGAGAATTACTTTCTATTTACTCTAGTTTCTATTTTCTAATGTTAGACACAAGGTCAATGGCTAACTCAGACAATGTCTTTGAGTCGGTCAGAGATAACCAGACTAATGTTACGCTACATAGTAATACTAAAGGATACATTTACATATATGTGGACTAATTGTTTAGCACATCCACTGACTTTGAAAAATGCTTGTTTTTGCAGTCACATGCTACACAGGTAGATATTTTTACTGTGCATCTCTATGGGAGTGGGGAGTACCAATATGGCAGCTGGTGGCTTCACTTTTTCAGGCTATCAGTAATCCAGTGAATAAATAGAGATCAGGGATCACTGCTGAAGACTTTCTCCTCTCATCTAATCAATCCAGGCCTGCATTAAACTGCTGTATTAGAAACCGAAGATCACTCTAATGATTCTTCATCATGTTTTCAGGTGGGAAACATTCATTAATATGACAGTCCGAAAGTTATTTTATTAAATAACAAAAAGTTACTAACATTTCATTGCATAACATCATGGCGACCCCTGGTGGTCATGAGATGTAACAATTATTCAGGACATACGTGTCTGAAATTGATCAAACAGATTACAGATGTTCTTTGTCAGCTGTTGCATCAGCATAAAGAGTTTATCAGTGGCAGGTTACACATCTGATGAGCCTGCATGGAGTAACTGCTGCAAAACATGTCAAACATTAAGATAGGGAGAGAGAAGGCTGAAGAAAAGAATGAAGATCTCTCTGAGGTCCAACACATAAAAAGCGGCGGTCTGAGTCTCAGCACCAGGCTGACACAGACAGTGAGGTAGGATCAGAGAAAGTAGGCAGTTTCAGAGTCAGCAGGATTGTATGAGTTCTTCTAAAGAGGCTCTAAAAGGTGCTGAATGTTGCAAAGGGAACCTATAGAAAGATCTCTGACTCACAGTCCAATGATTTCTGTTAATAAGTTCCTTTATTTTAAAGGTAATCTGTTGTAAACTTTCACGGATGTGATCAACCATTAAATGGCTGTTATTAGTGATTATCATCGTTGATGACAGCCGCTTTGGTCCCGTCTAAAACCTTAAGTTTCACTTTCTACTTACCGACTTTCTTTATACTTTAATCTACTTTATTTATAGACGACCTTCTTTAAAAAAACTTTACTGTGAATTTCACATTTCAGTTTAATGTGGGGTTTAAAAACAACTCACTTTACAGGATATGAGATTTTTCTTTACTTTTTTTATTTAAATGAAGAACTTCTAAAATTATGTTCAGATCAATGAATTCTGCAGGTAAAAAGAGAATTACTTTAGGATTCATTTGGTGATAACAACCTACGTGACTGATAACCACTAATAACGGCCATTTATTGGGATGATAACATCCGAAGCGGCTGGAATGTGCAGAGTTAACGGTTGGAATCATATTTATTTGTTGTTCAAACTCCCAGCCAGATGTGCGTGTGTTCACAGGACAATATATGACAGTTCAATGGGATGATTGACAGTGGATCTGATTGGTTAACATTCCAGTCGCTCACTGAAAGCTGCTGGGCGATGGTCTATGTGGGGTTGGCCGTCCCTCTGGAATCCTACGGAGCCGAGGCTGCAGCTGGAGCGTCCGTGTTCTGCTGGTTTGGGTGGGCCCGAGGATCAGGAGCGGCGCTGGAGAGTCCCGCTGACGGCGAGCTGCTGGTGGCCAGACGGCGGTAGACGAAGTGGAAGGGGACGGGCTGCGGGCAGCTGTGAAGCTCGGCTTTGATCTTTTGAGGGTGGGTGTCTGCGGCCAGCTGCTGGCTGCTGCCCTCCGTCTGCAGGAACAGGCCGTAGTTCTCAGGGTCCGACACCTTGAACTTCACGGCGCAGAGCTGGCACAGCTCCTCCACAGTGGCGTACGGTCGCACCTGCAGGGTCTTGGCCGTGCAGCCGCTGCCCGACTCGTGCAGCGCCACCCGCAGGTAGTTCTGAGGACAGATAAGATCATCATGAGAGCCTCGCCTCTGAGGGGAACAGACAACATCTCCAAACAGCAGAAGAGGCGTCAGACAATAAAGGAGAAACGGATGGCGTAGACTACTCTAATTACTTTTCTCATTTCTGCAGCATGGATGCATTACCATGGGTGACTATAACATGATCAATCGTGACACCACAATAAACAGACACTATTCTGCTCTCTCTGAGCTCAAACATAAAACCCAATCTGGGATTTCTGAAAATAAGACTTCTTATGCTTATGATCCTAAATAAGTCTTTTTTTTCTTAAACTAAATGCATTTTTTCTTGAATTTAAGAGGTAAGTGAGACACTTTGCCAATGCAACATGACAATTAACATTTAAAAGAAGAAACATACTATGCATTGTCTTGTTTCAAGTGTATATTATCTAACTATATTAGCTCGTTTGTTTTGGACAGTTGGCTGAAGGGAAAGCGGGTATGAGAGAGGGGGAGAGACATGCAGCAAAGGATCACAGGTCGGATTTGAGCCCGGGTCGCCCGCATCGAGGATTAAGAGCTGATTTATACTCAGATACCAGGTGGTCTGCGTGTGTGTCGCAGTGAACGCAAATGTGCCCCCGCTTCTTCTGCAGACACTCTGCTGCACCTCTCCAAAATTGTAAGTGACCACAGACAGGTCTCAGAGATGATCTGGAAAAACTAATCCATGCGTTTATTTTTAGTCAAATTGATTACTGCAACAGTGTTTTCACAGGTCTGCCTAAAAAGTGGATCAGACAGCTGCAGCTGATCCAGAACGCTGCTGCCCGTGTCCTCACTAAGACTAAGAAAGTAGAGCATATCACCCCAGTTCTAAAGTTCTTACACTGGCTCCCTGTATCTCAGAGAATAGACTTTAAAATACTTCTGTTAGTCTATAAATCTCTGAATGGCTTAGCACCTAAATGCATCACAGACTTGCTATCAGTGTATCAACCCTCCAGACCACTCAGGTCTTCTGGCTCCAGCCTGCTCTGCATACCTAGAACCAGAACTAGACATGGAGAAGCAGCATTTAGTTCCTATGCTCCACTTATCTGGAACAAACTTCCAGAAAACTGTAAAAGTCAAGAAAGCCTGAGTTCCTTTAAATCAAGACTAAAAACACATTTGTTTAGGATTGCCTTCCACTGTTCTAGTTAAACAGTTCAACTGAAACATCATTAGTTCAACTTTTTTATTTTCTTTAGTCTAACTATTTCTAACGTTCTTTCTTGTTTCTGCATTTTTATTCATTTATTTTTTTTCCTACTTGGTTTGATTCTGTTTTATTTTCCTATATTTTAATCATGTAAAGCACTTTGCATTGTCTTTGTACTAAATTGTGCTATAAAAATAAATTTGCCTTGCCTTGCCTTGCCTATTATACTTCAATAATCAATCCTGCTTTCGGCCATTTTGGAAGTGGGATGCAAGAAGGTTCTGGGTTCGTTTCCCAGCCTGGGGTCTTTCTGCTTAGAGTTTGCATGTTCTCCTTGAGTATGCATGGGTTCTCTCCGGGTACTCTGGCCTTCTCCCACAGTCAAAAATCATGACTGTTAGGCTAAATTGTCCTTAGTTATGAACGTGTGTGAATGGTTGTTTGTCCTGTTTTTCTCAGTGTTGCCCTGTGATGGACTGGTGACCTCTCCAGGGTGGACCCCGCCTCTCGCCTGTAGACAGCTGGAGATAGGCACCAGCACCCCGGAAAGTGCATGGATGAATGTTCATCACCTAGAACTATAAAAAAATTGTACGGTGCTGCTATGGGCCTGTGCACAGCATGCACAGACTGGCACGACTACCCAAGAACAAGTATAACTCGGCCTTAAAGTAAATGAATGATTATTTCTCTGGAATATTTACTCTGATCATGACCAAGTGACTGACCGAGTCATTAACTCAGGCTACGCTCCCACTCCAGGCTTTAATGATCAATAAAAAATATTTTTTTCTTTTTTTTTTATGAAATCCGATTCTTCGTGGTCGTTGTCATTTCCAAATATATGCGACTTGCATGTGATCTCCAGTGTGAACTGCATTCATATAACTTAAGTGTCCTGCATGCGCAGCAGAGGAAGCAATGATGTCACAAGTAGTGAGCGTGCTCTGCGGTTACAGGAGTAAACATGGATGGGAGTGCTGGAGCGCAACTACTGATTTTTCATTTCTTTTCCAACCTCAGCCAGTAAATTAACAACACAATCTTTTCAAGATGATTGAAAATAGAGACCACTCTCCACATTATCATCCGCCATGGTTGTTTTTCTTCCTGCTTTTGCGTAGAAAGACACAGAATATGGAACTTTGTGGAGTATTGATGGCGTTCAGGTCAGATGAATGCAACCTGACACGGGTCACATTCAACTGGAATTCATATCGGATTCAGGACCACAGAGCCAAGTGGCCTGGGTCGCACTGGAACTAATCAGATCTATGTTATTCAGACAGTGTTGAAAAGATCAGATCCAGGTCGCATTTGGACCAAAAAAAAAGTAGAAAAAAAAAAACCCTTTTGGAACGGAGGTCGTTCGGCTTCTTTTGTTAGCCTGCAATGCCCCATACCTGTCTATGTCTCTGAAAGGGGGGTCGTTAAAGAGAATTGTTGGCCTGGCTGAATAGGCGAGGTCTTCTGTTCCCCTGTAAAGGTTTGGGGTTCCTTTCCCGCTATCATCACAACCTCAACCCCTTTCAGCAGGTCAACAATTCCCTTTAACGACCCCCTTTCAGAGACATAGACAGGTATGGGCATAGATGTGAAAAGGTAGTTTCCTCAAATTTGAATTAGGGTCCTGCTGATTGGTTGGTTAGTATTGGTTCTCACCTGGAAGTCGTCAATAGAGGGCGCTGAACGCTGTGTGGTGCGGCGGCGGTGCCACTGGTGCAGCGTGTCTCTGGTCTCAGAGCTCAGCACCCGGGCCGCCTGGTCCTCTTGGAGGTTCTTGATGAGGGACATGGCTCCGTAGGCACTGGTCAGATAGTAGCCTCCTGGACACAGAGACAACAGGTTAGAGCCGGAGAGGAGAAACAGGAAGAGCTGCTTAATAGACAGAGGGGATGTTGGACGGGTACCTTCTCCGTGCAGCAGCAAAGGGTCCAGCAGCTCCATCATATACAGGATCTCATTGTCCAGCTCAGGCATGTCACACTGAGCCAACACGTAGGTCAGCATGGGGAGGAAGTCATCAGCGCCATACAAGCGACCTGACACAAAGACACAGCCTTGCCTCAGCGTCTCCAACACATCATGTAGAGCATTTCTACCACAGAAACTGATGATGTCAGAGGTCTGTACCCGAGTTGTCCTCCATGATGGTGTAAATGAGCTTGCAGACTCGGAGCAGGGTGCAGACCTTCTTCTCTGGGGAGTACAGCTTACACATGACCTGGAACTTCTGCCTGATCTTCTCAACGGCTACGGGGTCGGGGGGAAGGGCGTCGGTCACGCCCATTTCCTGCGGCCGCCGGGCTTTGGCCAAAGACAGGTTGTCTTTCAGCTCCTGCCAGCTGCCGCTGCTCACCTGGAAGTCTTTTAGCGCGGCACTGAGGGTTGGCTTTAGGGGCTTCAGGACGCACTTTATCAGGGCCTTCTCCAGGACGCGGTCTGAGAAGGAGACACAGTTAGTCCCACAGCGCCAACAGAACTCTAACAGATAGATTAAAACAGACCAGACTTGGTTTGAACCCAGAAATGTGGTCCTGAATGGTTCTGAAGGTAGTAGAGAGAGCCGACGTTACAGGGAACAACATGTAAAATTGACCGATTGGACTGTCTGACCCGTTAAACCAGAATAATAACTCACATGAACAGATATTATAAACAGAGCAGCTCTAGAAGGACTGGATCTAATCTACTTTCCTCCAACTCCAGAACTACCGGCATGTTACGTTTGTGGAGCAGGTCATGACTGAAACAATCTGTGAAATCATGCTGCAAATTATTCCTCAGGATTTATTTTGAAACAAAATGGGGAAAATTAGGAAAAAGATTTTCATATTTTTGTTTTTTTTAACAGGAAAGGTGAAACTGAACGCAAGAGATCGATAAAAATGTGAAATGAAACATTATTATGATGGATGTTGTTAATTATCTAAAAAGTTACTCAATCGAAATATTAGACTTGTACAAAAATGAAATAAAAACAATGTTTTATATTAATGTTAAACAAATATGCAAATGATGACAATATGAATCAGTTCATTTTAATCAGTTTATTATATTTGCAGCTCGGTGTTTACTAAAGAAATGAGCTGATTGGCTGCTTTTACTCCGGTCATTTTCTATTCTAGATGATGTTCACTCCAGGTCAGACACAGTTTTCATGATGTAGGTCAAGTCATAAATAAGATGGAGTTGGTCAATAACCAGACGGCGCTTGAATCTGTATTCTGTAGAATACAGATTTGGCTGCTGGATTTCATAATTTGCCTGCCAATATGTCTGGTGGCGGAAAAACGTCAGGCCTGATCATAAACTACATTTGTCAGCATCACCTTCACCTGCTGCTCATGACCGATGACCCTTTACCGGAATGAAATTCAACTTTGATACTATGTTGTACTTTTTAAAATTTGCAGTCATACACTTTTCTGTAAAGATTATTATGGAGCAACATAATACCCATCATGTCTTGAAGACATAAAAACCTGGATGACTCTTAACTTTCTGCTTCTGAATGCAGAGAAAACAGAAGTTATAGTCTTTGGACCAAAGTCTTTGAAAAAGAAGCTGATTAGCCAGTCACTTCATTTGGATGGGATTAAACTGATTTCAGATAATAAAGTAAAAAATCTTGTTTTTGATCAGGACCTGTCATTTAAATCCCATATCAAAGATGTTTCTAGAATTTCCTTCTTCTAAGGAATATTGCAAAGATTAGAAATCTCCTGTCCAGGGGTGATGCTGAGAAACTAGTCCAAGCATTAGTTACTTCAAGGCTGGACTATTGTAATTCTTTACTATCAGGAAGTCCACAAACTGTAGTTAAAAGCCTTCAGCTGATCCAAAATGCTGCAGCCAGAGTTCTGATGAAAATGAAAAAGAGAGATCATATCTCTCCTATCCTGGCTTCTCTTCATTGGCTTCCTGTTAAATCAAGAATAGAATTTAAAATCCTCCTTCTCACATATAAAGCCTTAAATGGCCAAGCTCCATCTGATATCAGAGATCTGATTGTTCCTTGTGTTCCTAACAGAGCACTTCACTCTCAATCTGCAGGTTTACTAGTGGTTCCTAGAATTTCTAAAAGTAGAATGGGAGGCAGATCTTTTAGTTATCAGGCTCCTCTCCTGTGGAACCAACTACCAGTTTTAGTCCGTGAGGCAGACACCCTGTCTACTTTTAAGGCTAGGCTTAAAACTTTCCTTTTTGATAAAGCTTATAGTTAGGGTGGCTCAGGTTATCCTGAGCTATCTCTATAGTTATGCTGCTATAGGCTTAGACTGATGGAGGTTCGCAAGCAAGTTTGATTATGGCCGGTTTAACGGAAGCATCTTGCTAACCAGTTAGCATCTTAGTGCTAGTAGGTTCCCAATAGGAAATTCCATTGGGACCAAGTAGCACTAAATTGGTGACTTAGAAACGACGCTGTCAAGGAACGCTATGGACAGCGGAAACATGCAAGAGGAGGAGAGTTTAGTGTCGGAGGTCGTGGAGTCTCCTCCGTCATCCATTTTTTATTTAGAGGAGGAAAGCGGGGATGAAGATGTTGTGGAAGAGGACGCCAGGGCGGCAGAAGCTTGGTTTGGTGTAGAAGGCTTCCAGCCGTACATGTTTGAGCCCTTGCCTCGCAACGCTGCCAGTTCTGTTAGCTCTACGCCTGCTGAAGACACAGACGTCCATCCCCGTGAACACTGGGACGGAACTCAATGGGAAAGGAAATGATTCTGATTTGTTATTTCAACCGTTGCGTAAATTAGCTGCGACATATGAATCAAGATGCTATGACCAAAAAAAATTGATTGATAGATGACCGTTGATATATGATTGGCCGAATTTAGGTGTTCAGGCTGACGTAGAACTAACTGGCCTGCAGAAGATAACGAACAAGAAAACAGATTTTAAGACAGGATTTTTTTTAAATGGAAATTTACTAAACTTTGGGACAATATCGTTTGATAAAGAGTACATTTATATCCATGTTTTAGCCAGAATGATTTGACATTTAAATATGGCTTCCCTACGACTTTAACCTCAATATATACGTCACTGACAATTTTTGTTTAGTTTAAGTGTCAGGCTTCAACATGGATTCAATTTTTCAGCCTAACCATATTTCAATGTTCACCCGTGCTTTGCAATGTGGGTCAGGACTGGTTCCCCACCTCAGAAAGCTGACATTACTAGATATTATTAGGTAGACGCTGGATGTAAGGAAAGAACTTTAATTCAAAACACATCAGCATTTAAAAGAACCACAGGCCCAACCACAGGCCTGCTGAATCAGGAGCAAGACTGAGAGCTAACTGCCCTCCAGGACACCCTGAGTCAGCACTTCTTCTGAACCAGCACATCCAAAACCCTCCTGTTGCTTTTCTTTCCACCGTAGCATAAGAACATCCAGCGACTGCCGTGCATAGTCAGCCTTAGCCTCAGAGGAAACCTGCAGGATAAAGCTTCTGGTGCCAGCGCAGAACCGAGCTGTGTCATCATGTTACTCCTACTTCCTCATTCCTGCAGTGGGACTTTCTACTGCCTGCTGGCACCGATGAGGACCGAGGAGTGATCAGATGGAGTTTATCTCTGTTCTCAGCAGACATAATAAATATTTTCCTTCTGTTTTTACTGGAAACACTTTTTCTCTTTCCGGCTCATCCTCCTGCTGGCAGATACGGCTCCAAAACATCTCAGAGAAGGAAACTTTTCAGTATTTCCCCAAAATGGTTGAAAAATATAAGGAACAAACAAGATTCGGGTTCATGATTGATAGAAGAATCTGTTCCAGGTAGAGGAGAATGTCCTCATTTCATAAGCATTTCAGCTATGAACGGATTACACCTTCTGACACACTTCCTACCTGCCCAGTTAAAGTAAACTACCGTTATTCACTCCCTCCTAAGCTCTGGTCCGGTTCCTTCATAAGAACCCAGTGCAGTTACTCCTATCCCTGCTGAAGATCCATTGAATGCCCCTGTTTGTAAGCATTCAGCTCAAACCATGTTTTCGCTCTTACCAGACCGGATGAGTTTGACTCAACCTCTTCTACACATGAAACCTCACGAGTCCATTAAAGGTCCCAGATTATGCAAAATTCACTTTATAATAATTTTCATCAGATGTGTCCTGAGGCCTATGTATGAGGATCACTGATGAAATAAAAACCCTTTCCACTCTCTTCCTCATCTAAGTTAATGTGTGCTTAAAAGGCTCCAGATCAAAATAATTTTTATTTTATTTGGGGAAATAATTTTTATATTATTTGGTGAAATAATTTTAGTATTATTTGGGGAAATAACCACTAGCCCCCCTGCCCCATCATCACCAGTCTAAGCCCACCCTCCAGCAGGTGCCATCTTTTATCGCCTACACAGAGCATCCAAACAGACATAGCTAACAGAGCAGGTGCTGAGCAAAGTGCAGGGTAATGTTTTTGTGTGTACCTGAAAGCCTGTAAACATGTTAGCACAGCAGCTAACATTTGTGCCTGTAAACATGTTGGCACTGCGGCTAACGTTTGTGCCTGTAAACATGTTAGCACTGCAGCTATCGTTTGTGCCTGTAAACATGTTAGCACTGCGGCTAACGTTTGTTCCTGTAAACATGTTAGCACTGCGGCTATCGTTTGTGCCTGTAAACATGTTAGCACTGCGGCTATTGTTTGTGCCTGTAAACATGTTAGCACTGCGGCTAATGTTTGTGCCTGTAAACATGTTAGCACTGCGGCTATCGTTTGTGACTGTAAACATGTTAGCACTGCGGCTATCGTTTGTGCCTGTAAACATGTTAGCAATGCGGCTAATGTTTGTACCTATAAACATGTTAGCACTGCGGCTATCCTTTGTGCCTGTAAACATGTTAGCACTGCGGCTAACGTTTGTGCCTGTAAACATGTTAGCACTCCGGCTAAGGTTTCTGCCTGTAAACATGTTAGCACTGCGGCTATCGTTTGTGACTGTAAACATGTTAGCACTGCGGCTATCGTTTGTGCCTGTAAACATGTTAGCACTGCGGCTAAAGTTTGTGCCTGTAAACATGTTAGCACTGCGGCTATCGTTTGTGCCTGTAAACATGTTAGCACTGCGGCTAAAGTTTGTGCCTGTAAACATGTTAGCACTGCGGCTAACGTTTGTGCCTGTAAACATGTTAGCACTGCGGCTAACGTTTGTGCCTGTAAACATGTTAGCACTGCGGCTAACGTTTGTGCCTGTAAACATGTTAGCACTGCGGCTATCTTTTGTGCCTGTAAACATGTTAGCACTGCGGCTATCGTTTGTGCCTGTAAACATGTTAGCACTGCGGCTATCGTTTGTGGCTGTAAACATGTTAGCACTGCGGCTATCGTTTGTGCCTGTAAACATGTTAGCACTGCGACTATCGTTTTTGCCTGTAAACATGTTAGCACTGCGGCTATCGTTTGTGCCTGTAAACATGTTAGCACTGCTGCTATCGTTTGTGCCTGTAAACATGTTAGCACTGCTGCTATCGTTTGTGCCTGTAAACATGTTAGCACTGCGGCTAACGTTTGTGCCTGTAAACATGTTAGCACTCCGGCTATCGTTTGTACCTGTAAACATGTTAGCACTGCGGCTATCGTTTGTGCCTGTAAACATGTTAGCACTGCGGCTAACATTTGTGGCTGTAAACATGTTAGCACTGCGGCTATCGTTTGTGCCTGTAAACATGTTAGCCCTGCGGCTATCATTTGTGCCTGTAAAACATGTTAGTACTGCGGCTATCGTTTGTGCCTGTAAACATGTTAGCACTGCTGCTATCGTTTGTGCCTGTAAACATGTTAGCACTGCGGCTAACGTTTGTGCCTGTAAACATGTTAGCACTCCGGCTATCGTTTGTACCTGTAAACATGTTAGCACTGCGGCTGTCGTTTGTGCCTGTAAACATGTTAGCACTGCGGCTAACGTTTGTGCCTGTAAACATGTTAGCACTGCGGCTATCGTTTGTGCCTGTAAACATGTTAGCACTGCGGCTAACGTTTGTGCCTGTAAACATGTTAGCACTGCGGCTATCCTTTGTGCCTGTAAACATGTTAGCACTGCGGCTGTCGTTTGTACCTGTAAACATGTTAGTACTGCGGCTGTCGTTTGTGCCTGTAAACATGTTAGCACTGCGGCTAACGTTTGTGCCTGTAAACATGTTAGCACTGCGGCTATCCTTTGTGCCTGTAAACATGTTAGCACTGCAGCTAACGTTTGTGCCTGTAAACATGTTAGTACTGCGGCTGTCGTTTGTGCCTGTAAACATGTTAGCACTGCGGCTAACGTTTGTGCCTGTAAACATGTTAGCACTGCGGCTATCGTTTGTGCCTGTAAACATGTTAGCACTGCGGCTAACGTTTGTGCCTGTAAACATGTTAGCACTGCGGCTAAGGTTTGTGCCTGTAAACATGTTAGCACTGCGGCTAAGGTTTGTGCCTGTAAACATGTTAGCACTCTGGCTAAGGTTTGTGCCTGTAAACATGTTAGCACTCTGGCTAAGGTTTGTGCCTGTAAACATGTTAGCACTGCGGCTATCGTTTGTGCCTGTAAACATGTTAGCACTGCGGCTAACGTTTGTGCCTGTAAACATGTTAGCACTGCGGCTAACGTTTGTGCCTGTAAACATGTTAGCACTGCGGCTAAGGTTTGTGCCTGTAAACATGTTAGCACTCTGGCTAAGGTTTGTGCCTGTAAACATGTTAGCACTCTGGCTAAGGTTTGTGCCTGTAAACATGTTAGCACTGCGGCTATCGTTTGTGCCTGTAAACATGTTAGCACTGCGGCTATCCTTTGTGCCTGTAAACATGTTAGCACTGCGGCTGTCGTTTGTACCTGTAAACATGTTAGTACTGCGGCTGTCGTTTGTGCCTGTAAACATGTTAGCACTGCGGCTAACGTTTGTGCCTGTAAACATGTTAGCACTGCGGCTATCCTTTGTGCCTGTAAACATGTTAGCACTGCGGCTAACGTTTGTGCCTGTAAACATGTTAGTACTGCGGCTGTCGTTTGTGCCTGTAAACATGTTAGCACTGCGGCTAACGTTTGTGCCTGTAAACATGTTAGCACTGCGGCTATCGTTTGTGCCTGTAAACATGTTAGCACTGCGGCTAACGTTTGTGCCTGTAAACATGTTAGCACTGCGGCTAAGGTTTGTGCCTGTAAACATGTTAGCACTGCGGCTAACGTTTGTGCCTGTAAACATGTTAGCACTCTGGCTAAGGTTTGTGCCTGTAAACATGTTAGCACTCTGGCTAAGGTTTGTGCCTGTAAACATGTTAGCACTGCGGCTATCGTTTGTGCCTGTAAACATGTTAGCACTGCGGCTATCGTTTGTGCCTGTAAACATGTTAGCACTGCGGCTAACGTTTGTGCCTGTAAACATGTTAGCACTGCGGCTAACGTTTGTGCCTGTAAACATGTTAGCACTGCGGCTAAGGTTTGTGCCTGTAAACATGTTAGCACTCTGGCTAAGGTTTGTGCCTGTAAACATGTTAGCACTCTGGCTAAGGTTTGTGCCTGTAAACATGTTAGCACTGCGGCTATCGTTTGTGCCTGTAAACATGTTAGCACTGCGGCTAACGTTTGTGCCTGTAAACATGTTAGTACTGCGGCTGTCGTTTGTGCCTGTAAACATGTTAGTACTGCGGCTGTCGTTTGTACCTGTAAACATGTTAGCACTGCGGCTAACGTTTGTGCCTGTAAACATGTTAGCACTGCGGCTGTCGTTTGTACCTGTAAACATGTTAGCACTGCGGCTAACGTTTGTGCCTGTAAACATGTTAGCACTGCGGCTATCCTTTGTGCCTGTAAACATGTTAGCACTGCGGCTGTCGTTTGTACCTGTAAACATGTTAGCACTGCGGCTATCGTTTGTGCCTGTAAACATGTTAGCACTCCGGCTATCGTTTGTACCTGTAAAACATGTTAGCACTGCGGCTATCGTTTGTGCCTGTAAACATGTTAGCACTGCGGCTATCGTTTGTGCCTGTAAAACATGTTAGCACTGCGGCTATCGTTTGTGCAAAATAGGCGAATTTCCCAGATATGAGGTGGATATTAAGAGGTTAAATATGTTAGTAGTAATGTACATCTTGATGTAATGCTCAATAAATGCCTTCCTTCACTAGTCAGGACATGGGCAAGTTTGCAAAGTAAATAGCTTTCATGGAAATTAGCAGACTGGAAGTGAATGAGAAGGTAAATGCTGCTTGTGAAAATTATACGACCCTGCCAGTGTGGACCCAGCAGATAAATAGCAACATGTTGGAGCAAAAACAAACCAACACAACCAAGAAACAAGGTGCTGATTCAAATGATAACCAGACCGATAGCTCTTGCTGAGAAACCCTTGGAGCAAAGCCAAAACACAAACAATTTACCGTAACCTAGATCTGACAAGACGCCTAACAGGGCAAACGCCACATCTAAGATGACTAAACCTGAGACTTCATAGAAACAAGTCTTTTACTCTAAGTTACAACAGGTGCAAAAAGCTAGTTAGAAAAACAAAGAATGAGGAAGGACGGACTCAGAATATTTGGATTTCCCTAAAAACAGGTTTGTTGCCCTAATTGACCCTAAAGAGAGAGCAACCTGTTTCCCAACAACAGAAAAAGGTATGAGGCCATTTGGCTCTATCCTTAATTCAATTTAATTCAGTTTATTTCAATAGCGCCCATTCACAACATATCATCTCAAGGCACTTTACCAGATCATCCAGTCAGATTGATTCAGTTTTCTATCTAAGGAAAACCAGCTGATTGCATTGACTCTTTGACTCGAATGCAATCCCTCACACTAAGCATGCTTGTAGCAACAGTGGAGAGGAAAAACTCCCTTTTAACAGGAAGAAACCTCCAGCAGAACCAGGCTAAGTGTGAGCGGCCATCTGCTGAGGCCGACTGGGGTTCAAGGAGACAGAAGCAGAGATACAAAAGGCAGCTGTAAAAGGTGAAAGAGGCCATTGTCTATTAGAATGAAACAACAGTATTGAAGAATTTATGGTTCTGATGCTGTTATTAGTAATCACCGATATCAGATTTGGCAGATAGAATTTTGGTAATAGGTAATCGGATCACAAAATCCTGATCAGAGCATCTTTAACCGTAACCCCGCATTAGTGGCAAAATACTGCAGGGGTGTGCCGCTGATCCTCTGCCTTTAATTGGACAGCTGCTATGAAAGAGCCGGTTTACTTGGCAGCAAAGTCGCCCTGATGCATCTGGACCGGCCTGGCTCTGAGCCCAACAGAAGCTGCTCTATGAGCAGCAGCAGGACGGCCAAAATAAAATCAGATATAACACAACCAATGGATGGTTACACAGCTTTTTAAAGGAGCACATTTTAAGGCAGCTCGCTGTCATGTTTCGGTCGGTCTGACACCAAGCAAACATTCAACAACATGAGTCCTGAAGCTGTGAGGCAGTTTAGTAGAAAGAAGCTCATTCATAACTGCGGCACACTGAACCAGTTCTCCTTAGACAGAACCGCCTTTATTCTCTGTTTACATGTTAGTTTGTCCAAGTCTGACGCAGCCCCTCCCACCCCCCACGCTGCATGCAGATCCTCTGCAGGTCATTCTAAAGGAGCTGCTAAACATTAGAGCTCAATGATGGTTCTGGCCCTGATGTCTATGGGATTAGTAACATCCACAAAGACCTTTAACTTGCCAACAGAAAACACCATTAATCAGCAACTCATCATCTTTCCGCTCCTAGAATAGAGATGTGAAACTGCCTGATCTGCACTGATTCATCATTGCCCTGAACAAACACAATATCTCAGTGAGGACCAGAAATTCCTCCCACAGTGTTCAGGAGAAAGCGATGAGGTAATGAGGCTGAAGGTGTGGAAATGTGATGTCAGCAGTAGCCGGACTGAGCGTGAGCAAAGGTCCTTCCTGTTCCCGAAGGCTTTATGTTGAGCGATGAAATCAGCATGACTAATGGAAAAAGCAACGATAAGAAAAAGGAAATGTTTGAATCAATCCTCACCAATCTGATCCTCGGGAATGAGGCTCTCGATGGGGGGCTCCATCTCGGAGCTCTGCTGCAGGTAGTTCTTCATCTGGGTAATGAACTGGCGAACTGTCTGAAGCAGCTCCAGCCCTGAGGCGTAGCCTTGCCAGGCCTGGGCTCCGGCACCTTCCCTCATGTAGCTCAGATAGTCTTGCACCAGGGAGCCGAAGTACGAGCTCTTATCCTTGGACATCTCTAAAACCTTGCGGATCGCCCTCTTCTCCGGCGTCAGCAGTGAGTTAAAGACGCTGCTCATCTTACGGAGTTTCACCTGCAGGGCTTTCTGCAGGACAGAGGCACTAGAGTTGGAGCGCCGCTTGGCCTGGCCCCCAGGGGGCAGCATGCTCAAGTCCTGATCGCTCTCCAGGCTAACGCTGAAGTCGGACTCTTCTTCATCATCGTCGTCATCGACGTATTCGTCTATATCTATGCTACTGTAGCGTAGATGGGTCGGTGGGAGGGAGAGGGGGAGATGGGTGTTAAAGTCAGCGATGGTGGGGGGGCTGGGGTCATGCAGGGGAGGGAGGAAGAAGGTGGAGGACTGGGAGGAATCCAAGGAGTCTGAGGAGTCGGTTGAGAGGCTAATGTCACTCAAGCGTTGGCCCCCACTTCGACATTCCCTCTGAGATGTTTGTTGTCCAGGTGGTCCCTCTGCCACCCCACCCCCTGATGTCATGGGGGGTTCTAATGGACTATGAGAGTTCTGGGTCATAGAATGAACCGACTTCTTAATGGTTTGTTCCTCCAGAGTCAGGTGGCAGCGGATGTCAGATGGTAAGGCTTTGGTTGGATGGGGAGAGGAGGAGAAGGAGGGCAGGGGGAGGGATCGTCGGGGAATCGATATGGGGGAGCTGATGCTGAACTTCTTAGGCGGCAAGGGTGGCGGGCTGCTGCTCAGCGAGGAGCTGAGGCGGCTGCTCTTCTCCTTCGCCTCCTCCTTGGAAAGGTTTATCCAGGAAACTTTTTCTGGCATTACGTTCTGTCCACCAGGAGGCGCAGGCAGGGGTTTGGTAAAACGAGGGGGAGGGGGTCGAACGGGAGGAAGGGAGCAAAAGTTGGTCAACTGCTGGTTGCTCTCAGCTCTTCCCGTACGGCTGGGGTCACAGGTCAGATGGTCGGAGTCCTCCCCCCCCCCACTGGAGGGACTCACTTCATTGGCTTCATCTACCAGAGGTTGGTGTGGGCCTTTGCTGGAGCTGATCTGGCCGCCGCCATCCGGCTTGATGAAGAGGGGGTTGGTGAAGCACAGCGCTCCGCTAGGCAGCCAACAGTCCAGCTGGGAGGGGCTTCGGAGTGGAAGACGAGGACCGGAAGGGGACAATGGGCAGGAGAGAGGTCTCTGAGCAGGTGGGGAGGGTCTACCAGGACCTGCTGATGTGGCCCTTCTCTCCCAGAAACCTACAAAAGGAAAGGAAAGGTTACTTCAACCCGAAGGTTCTGTTAGACCCGGAAAACGGCGGAGACACCCTCAACTGTTGGACCTGTTGATTAACATCCTCAATTCCTAAACATCCCAGTCAGGGTTGGACGTTTCTCCTGGATGTTTCTTTTTTTTTCAGGGTTTTTCCATGTTTTTTTTTTTCAGTTTCTTCCGGAAGAAACTTTTAAGGCCAAATCTAATGGAAAGTTTTGTTTCTTTTGTTAAATATTTAGCTTTCAGCACACCCAAACCCAGGAATAACATGGAGGCGGGGTTCAATATCTATATGCCAGGGAGGATTTGGGGGCAGGAAGAGCAGAAGAAATCAAAGACAAAGAAAGTTTGCCATTTCTACCATTTAAAGGCTATTAGTAAATTATCACTTCTGTATTAAATGTGTAATTCCTTGATTGGTTTTTCCAAAGGGTCTTTTACTTTGAAAGTTTTACGACCAGTAGTTATTCATTCCTCTAGATTTGTATTACATACACTTAATAAATCATATAAATTCTTAATCTGTGTTACTGTGTGTATTCTCATAAAGGTTTCTCCTCATGTATCCTGGTGTATATAGTGAGTTAACTTTACAGTGGAACTATCCCAGTTCTCCTAAATATGAGATACTACCAGGACTTTCTTCCAGTTTCTTCCACTTTTCCTAAAGAAACTCAACCCTGCCCATAGCAGGATCAAGGAATGACGTCACTCGGCTTACCGGCCCTTTAAATGCTGCTGCAGCCGAGTATAACCCAGCACCGTCCTTATTCTGTGAAAAATCCAACAGCAGCTACTTCTTCATCACCATCAGTCAAGGTGATGAAGAGCCACTGATTGGGTTCCTATGAGCCACAGGCTTCAGAACCTGTTCTGACCCTGCAGCTTAGCAGATTGTGAACTGAGGCTCCTGGTCCATGAACACTGTTGGTGTGGTTCTACAGAACCTCAGCCCCATGGCTCCAGTAGAAGGTCTGGTATCTGATCAGCAGAAATGTACTGATGGAGAACCAGAATGTTAAACATCAGAGCACAAACATAACAGCTGCAGGAAGTCAGAACAGTAGCAGTGTCCAGACGTCCAGGAGAACCATCCACTTATACAGGACTGGAAACCAGTCCAGAGTTAATCCGACTTCTTTAAAAACAGAATTGAACCCCTTGTGTTTTTGGTACAGAAGGCAGGAAGAACAATGATTTTAATCCACAACTTTTATGGTTCTGCCAGGAATGGACCTGCACGCTTGGACGTTCTACTGCCAATAAAAAGGACAAAAGAAAAACGTCCTGTAGTTCCTCTTAGAGCCTCTAATACATAACATGCAGAACATAAAAACAGGCCATGAGCTGCTTGTTTACGGCCAGGTCAGTCTGAGTCAGCGGAGCGTCTCCAGCCTGTGAGGCAGTGAAGAAAGAAGGAGAAGATGGAAAGCATTGGTTCTGGACCCAGAGCTGCTGCAGGAGATGATACTTACAGAGATTCCTGAGCGGAAGCTCAGACAGGCTGCTGACAGACAGTCCCCGCGGTTCACAGGACTTTACTACGTCTCCACAGGCTGAAACTGTTCTGGTTTCTGTCTGAGCCAGAGCAATGATTCACTCACTGCCAGGGCAGGGACTCTATCCTCTGGCCCCACCTCTCCTCCCTCAGTCGCTCTCTACTCCTCCCCCAGGACGCCTCTCTCTCTCAACATGTCCCTCTTGTTATGCCAACAGTTTAATCTAAAGGCTTTCAGAAGAACTGCAGGGAAGCATGCTGAAGAAAGAAAGCTGCTGATGGAGGAATCCTGCATACTCTGCATTGGCTGGAAACTGCAGGCACTGCGTTGAGATCATAAAGCTAAATTATTATTGTTATTATTATTATTATAACCAGGCTGAGAACCAGGCCACAAAACAGGCTGCTCGTTCATTCACGAGTCTGAAGTTCAGCCTATCTGCTTCACGAACCTCGTACTTTCACGAATCTGAGGGTCAGACCATTTGCTCCAGGAACCTCGTCGTTCATTAGTCTGAGGGTCAGACTGTTTGCTCCACGAACCTCGTCGTTCATTAGTCTGAGGGTCAGACTGTTTGCTCCACGAACCTCGTCGTTCATTAGTCTGAGGGTCAGACTGTTTGCTCCACGAACCTCGTCGTTCATTAGTCTGAGGGTCAGACTGTTTGCTCCACGAACCTCGTCGTTCATGAGTCTGAGGGTCAGACTGTTTGCTCCACGAACCTCGTCGTTCATGAGTCTGAGGGTCAGACTGTTTGCTCCAGGAAACTTGGTCATTCACGAGTCTAACGGTCAGACCATTTTCTCCACGAATCTCGTTCATTCACGAGTCTGAAGGTCAGACTGTTTGCTCCAGGAACCTCGGACACCCAGAGCTGAGTCACTGCAGCTGAGCAGCTGTGAAAAGAGGAAATTCTGCAGAAGACAAACTTTAAATCACCACCTGCTTGCCATACATCCAGAACCAACTTCTAATGACTCTGATGGAACCAGAACACAGCAGGAGGTCAGAAAGTTGGACCCAATCAGAGACGTTCTTCAGTAAAACCTACATGTTTATTAAAAAAAAGCTGACAAAGAGATTTACCAATCTGGTTAATGTTAGCACAAAGGAAGGAAAAACAAACCTGCTCCCAGTTTAGCGACCTTCTCCAGATCCCCAAAACTCCTGGCAGCAGAGATGGCCTCTGGAAGCCTGAGCGTGAAGGGCAGGACGTCCCTGAGACAGAGCAACAATGAGGACATGAGGACTGGTTCTGAATCAGTGACCCACAGCGAGCATCATCATCAGAAAACAACCAGTTCAGAATAAACAGGACTTTGATCATTAAGGAGAAGAACTGGGAGAAATAATACCAAAAGTAACGGTTGGAGAGGGGCCTGGCTGCTGACCTGCACTGTCAGGACCAGAGATTTATTCCAAACATTTTAATCCAAGCCTTCAGGATTAGCGCATAGCAATGGATGTTCTGCTGGATTTTATTAGAAGAATAAAACTTTTTTTTTTTTTTGTGAGGTGAGAGCTCACTTAAATCTGCCTCTTCATACTTTTCCCCACTTTAGAGCAAGAAAATCTGAATTTTTGGTGATTTTCCTTGACTTATTAGAACATGATGTGTCTCTGACAGACACAGGCTTCACTGTGACTCCAGCCAAAGGTGAAGCTGTGAAATCTGCTGTTTCCATAATAAAAACACTTCCAATAAAATATGATGTATAGACGTTTGAAGGAGATATTCAGTACTTCACTGTGAGAACACAAAGCTTAGTTCATCTGAAATCAAACAGCCTCTATTGGATAATCTCTGTGGTCCAACAGCAAAGCTAAGAACAGCACAAACAATACTAAACGAATAAATAATACAGATCAGGGGTAACCAATTAAAAATCAGCAGGGTCCAAATAAAGAAAATCATCAACCTTTAAGGTCTGGAGACATTTTTAATTATAATCTGTTACTTTAAAAAGAATTTAACACTGAAATAAAATGAGGTGTTTATGCATCCATGTTATACAATGAATTTGGAAATACAAAATATATATAAAATAAAAAAATAGATGTAGAGAAGTAGAGAACAATCGTTCAGTTTGGTATAACTGCGCTGAAAACAATTTCCTAATTCACATATTTTATAAAACACCCAAACTCTGTTATTTTCTTTATTTTTTCTGTCTTAATGTTGGCAGTGGGCTTTCTGCTGCCCTGCAAGGCTTTAAACCTGGTTTGAATGGAGACTAAGTCATTCTAAAGCACATATCAAGGAGCTCATTCTGAGCCTGGATCTATATTTATTGTTGATTCTGTTCATGGTGGAGAATCCTGCTTCACAGCAGCAGGTTGAGCCAAACATCCTCTAAATGTGCAGGATCATCTTTGAGCACCATTTCACTTTTCTTTCACCAGTTCACCACAGTTCTTCCAGCAGTCCACACTTTCTCTGCTCTCTTTTTCTCATCATCTTCTCCTTCTTTCCCATCGCCCGGCTTGCCACAGGTTTGCCTGCTGTGTCTAAAAGTAGCAGCAGCAGCGACCCAGACTGACAGCAGCTCATTGGCTGATTAGTATCACATGAAGCTGGAGCCGGACGCTCTGGAGGGCTTTACCGTATTAACAGGAGAAGCAGTATAAGTGAAGTTAGACACTGTGGTCGGACAATATGCAGTAATTTATAAATGTTTTCAATCAGGTTGGGTCGGGATCAGTCAGCAGGTGGGTCCACTAATCCATGACCTCTGCTTTAAAATATAATACTTGCAAACACATATTAGAGATGACTTTACAATAGCTTTATCTGGTCTGTTCCTGTTTGGCTGTGACTCCATCCTGGAGAGAAATATCAGCTGTGCTGCTTCCATCAACACCTTTGTTTCTAGATGTTGGAGCTTGGCCTATTTTTCAGTGTAGTCCTGTTTTCTCTGACTGTGACTAACTGGATGTGCTCTCTTCATCCTCTGACATGGGGGCTGGCTTGGAGCTCGTCTACCTGGCTCTGTGTTTCCTGGATGGGGCCGCCCATCAGCGTTGACAGACCCTTTTCACAGGGGCACGTGCCCCATTGTGTATCTGCAGTGCCTGGGGCACTGATTTTTTAATTAATTAACTTTCCACTTTCACTGCTCATCTATCACAGCTCCGCCGTAGCTCTGGTGCGCCCCAAGCTGACAGGAAGTGTATTTGCTCCCCGCCTCCCTTCTTCTTCTTCTTCTTGTGAGGTTTTATGGCGATTGGCAAAATAGTTAAAGTGCATTACCACCACCAACCGATAAGGAGGTGGCGGTAATGCGCAAGAAAACAGGAAACAAGACCCAGCCTTAGAAAAAAATAAATAAATAAATAATATTTTTCCGAACCATTTAACTTAACCCAACATAATAAATACTTAATCAACTGATGGATGGATGATTTTTTTTCGGTTTTTCTTGTCATCTGAGCACTACAATTGATCACTTCTACCATGAAAAGAACAATTTTGCAATCAATTAATCTTCAATTTTGGGACGCTGCTCTAGAGGTTTTGAATTTTTCATGAGCTGAACTGTTGGTTCCTTTTGCGATCCTTTTTGCAGCTTTAGCATAACTTATTCCAAGCTCTAATTTCACTTTTCTTATTTCTTCAGATCTTTTGCTCACTTCACATCCATGATCTGCAGCAGTCTGTTCTCCACCACAGTTACAGCTTTTAATTTTTTTCTCCTTTCCCATATTTTCCATATTCATGCCCTCCAGCAAACCTTCCGCATCGTTGTTTTCCCTTATATACTGCTGCAGTATGTCCGAATTTTTGGCATTTAAAACATGTCTGAGGAGGAGGATTGAACATTTTAACATTGCAGCTCATATAACCAATGAAAACCTTATAGGATAAATGCTCTTCTTCAAATTTAATTAACACAGATAAGCTGTCACACCTTTCTCCATTTCTTGTTGTTTTTAACTGTTTCACTTCTTTTACTTTTGCACCACTTATGTTTTCTAGAATGTCTTTATCAGTTACTTCTAGAGGAACAATGACTCCCCTGCTAATCATTTTGTTCTCCACCAAGCTGCACTGAACTCTTTCCCCTCATCTTGTTAATGCATATAGCTTTGCCTTGTTGAGACTGTCTCTGCAGTTTTTTAACAGGTCTCCACTATTCAGTATTCTGGCACTTCAGACTTCCCCTACAAGTTTGTTTATCGATTTTGTTAACTGAATCTGATTCCAATCTGCAAAGTAGTCTCCCTGATTGACTAGTTTGAATATGACTTTGTAATCATTTAGTTTTCCTGTGGAATTTCTAGATTGATCATCACTTGAATGTTCTGAACTGGACTCCCCTTCAATTGATCTCTGCTCTTTAAGCTTTTTCTCATTTTTTGATTCTACTCTCTTCCAATCTTCTTCGTTTTCACTGTTTCCTTCTTCCATCCCACAAGAATCGCTCCCCGTTTCCTCACTACTCGCTGCTCAGGACATTTCTCCACAAGCGACTTAAAAACACGCGCCATGCACCACCTCGCTCCAATGTCAGGATCTGACCCAGCATGGATAAAGACAGGTAGGACTGATTTAAAGCACTTTGTAGAAAAGGCAAAGAAGAACGAACAATCTGGGATTCACATGAAAAATAACCGAATATACTTTACTTTTTCTAGGTGTTTGTTAATCTGCATAGCTGCTCATAAATAAACACATAGTCAGGAAATAAATTGTTTTTGTTTGTTAAAAAAACAAAGTTGACTAATAGCTTAACCATTATTAAACTGGTACATAATTTTTTTAGGTTTCTGACGCCATATTGGATCATGCAAAACACAGATTTACCTTCACAAAGCCTCAGAAGGGCAACATTTATGTACAAAAAGCTAAGCTGTTCATGAATTTATGTTTTGTTTTTATAATGTTTTTTGTTGTTAGTATTCATATAAATATACTGGTGTGATAACTTAGTATACGTGTATTTTGAATTAATAGCGCCCCCTGGAGGAGAAAACTCCACCAGCTGCCACTGGCCGAGACGCTACTGTTTACTGTTAAAAATATGAACATCCAGCTCTCCCATCTTTCTGGCCATGATATACACCTCATCATAGGATCATCACCATCACAGCATCATAGGATGGGCCAGAATAGAAATGATAAACAGACATGGATGCATGTAGAGGTGTTTTTTTTTTTTTTTTTTTTTTTACAGTTGCACATTTCAAATTTTCAGTTTTCAAGTATTTAATGAAGATAAATTTTGCCTTCATCAGTAGTGGATTAGAGATATACGGTTAAGTTCACAAGTGGGCCAATTCAATACAGTTTGTTTCAGGTAGATATTTAATGATGCAGAAAATAACAATTTGATTGGATAATTTATTTATGACGCTTTATAATAATAAATGAGTGCTTTAAAATATTTGCTTGCGTGCTTGCATTAAGTATCTGTGCCCATGCTCTTTTAAAATAGATAATTACCCAAAACATTTTTTGCTTGCATGCTTTGCACGCTCGCATTTTATTTGGTGCCCCATTGTGCCCCGTTATAGTATTGGGTCAGCTGATGCCCCTGGGGCCGCCTGTGGAGCTGATTTACAGCTGCTTTCTGTATCTCTGCTTCTGTCTCCGTGAACCCTCAGTCAGCCTCAGCAGATGGCCGCTCACACTGAGCCTGGTTCTGCTGGAGGTTTCTTCCTGTTAAAAGGGAGTTTTTCCTCTCCACTGTCGCTACAAGCATGCTTAGTGGGAGGGATTGCTGAAGAGTCAAAGAGTCGATGCAATCAACTGGTTTTCCTTAGATAGAAAACTTTGAATCAAATTGGATGATCTGGTGAACTGGAAAGTGCCTTGATGAGACGTGTGTTGTAAATTTGCGCTATATAAATAAACTGAATTGAATTTATTAAAAAAATGAGTTACTGTGGTTATTTTGACATTTTCTTGCGTTTTTTTAAACTTATCCAGTTGAACTGGAAAGAGATTATATATTATTCATTAAACACATCAATAGAAAAACATATTTCTTTTGAGGAGACCCAGGAAATAAACATGTAAAATATTTCTGATATACTAGCTTTTATTTAGCTTTTACTTTGAAAGGCTTTGAATAAACTTCCTGTTCTGACAGTGCAGGAGACCTCAAGCTACGTTCACACCGGACGCAGCAGGAACAGCAAAATCGCATCTGCTGCTTCCTTTTTGCTGCTTGTACTAGTTTAGTAACTTTGTTTAGCAACTTTGCTGCTCTCCAAAAGTGGGACTGACGAGCGTTGGGCGGAGCTACTCTTTGCTGTGATCAGTGGGAATAAAGTAGTTTTAATATGATTTTAAATGGGAAAATCCACCTGAAAACTTCATCAGTGCAATCAGTTCATCCAGATTACAATCCTGCCTTCCAATATTATTTCTGTGGGAGCCGCTCAGACCCCCACATACCGGCGGTGCGCCGACAGTAGGAATTCCATTCAACAGCAGCCTCAGGCCCAGTCGCCTCCTCGCGGTTCCCCTCGGTGGCTGGAAGGCGGTTTTCATGTACGTAATCCAAACTTCAGGCACTAGGATAATAAAAGCAAACATATCCTGCCAGCAGGATTCTATATTTTAAGTTTCAGAGGAGTGATCATAGCTCTCTGATCATCAGCGATGTGTCTCTCTCTCCCTGCCAGCTCCCAGATCAGCATCTCTGATTGGTTGATGCGGCGCGTCAAGCAGCAAAAGTTCAATTTTTTTATCTCGAGCATCTGTGTTCGGTGTGAACGCAGCATCAGAGTGCAGGTCTGCAGCTAGACCCTCTTGCAAGGTTCTGATGCTGCCGGTTTTAATGACTGCTGGTTCTGGATGACTGTCTTGTTTTATTTGTAATGTTTTTCTGTTGATGAAGCTAATCAGATAGAAGGAGGGAAGCAGCTGGACTGTCTCCCACAGACCAGCAGCCGACCATCCAATGCATAATGGTCCTCCTTGCTGCTGGCTGACACTGAGATGGATGAGAAGGATGGGTGGAAACTCACCTGCTGATGCAGCAGAAAGCCAGGAGACGGAAAAGGTCTGCAAAGTTCAGGTCTGATCCCTCCAGAGAGAAAGCTGCAGGAGACAAACCAACAACCTTCAACAAACAGCAGAAGCTACGGACATGCTCTCTCCTTTCTGGACCCTTCTAGATGGAACTTTGTCCATTAGACCCTCTGTTACTGCATTACCATCATGAAGCTGGATGAGAGTAACAACACCATCTATGACCTTCAATGAGAAGGTGCTCCTAAAACAGAAAGATGGATGACAGCTTCACCACCCTCTGACACATGCTGCTGAAGCTGCAGCAGAGGTTCTGATTCAACGCAAACATCAGGAGAACATGGATCAGTGGAGGAGTGCAGATGAAGGATGGAGAGAACCTTCTGCCTTGGTTTATCAAGCTTATGTACGCCACCTTCCACGTAAAGGTTGGGATCTATCAAAACCAGTGTTGGCATGGAAACCTGCCGTCCCACGCTCCCACTCTGACCCACCCATAGTAGAGCAGCCGGAACGTGCTGCAGCTAGCGGAGAGAAGCATTGAGGAGAAAAGCAGAGCAGAAAAACACCAAGAAACTAAACCTTTACTCCACTTTGGTGTCGTGTTTAAACGGCTCACCATCATGCTGAACTCTGGCATGTGTTGGGATATAAATACGGTCCGGTCAGTCTACCTAGTATCAGCTGGGTTTTAGAGGAATTTTTCTCACAATTACATCTGCAAAGAGACGTCCTAGTCCACAATTGCGTAGGGGGCCAACCAGGTGTCAGTGACCGGGCCTCTAAGCAACTGCAGCCTCTGCTTACCGATAGTTATGCCATTGGTCGGATTAAAGCACGAGTGTAACCAGGAGTGAGGCAGTCGCTCTGATTGCTGTAAACATTGAAACATTAGGAGGGACAGGAACCTTAGCTGGCTCTCCATGATGGCCTTTTCTGCTCGATTCACCCCCTGACTGAATAGTAGCAACAGCCTGCAGATCCAGAACATCCAGAACAGAACTTACTGTACTGGTTCTCTCTGATGGGGAAGTCCTTGATGGGCTCTGTGGAGTCTCGGTCCATGCGTACAGAAACCACTTTCCTCTGCAGGCGGCTGGACCTCCTTACCAGGAACGACTGCAGAGAGAAACTAGAGCAGGTCAGAGGTCAGTGAGCAGGAGGACAGATGTTCATCTTTTCCTTACAGGAGGAACCGAACCCCTACAGCGCTCCTATTTAGTCAGAGAGAGGAAACTGAACCACTTTGGTACTGCAGTCTGCCCCTCCAACATCCAACTGATAGACATGGGTTGATTCCAATCTGTTTTCCTTTCTGTTCTCTAATGGATTTCAAATCCTCCACATCTGCAGCAGAGAGGCGGGAGTTAACCTTTCAGTCAAAGTTATATTTTCACCCTCTTCTGATGGGTAAATAAAAACTAGCACTAACTGTGTGAATCATGAAGAGACTCAGGCGACGCTCACACGGCAGGATTTTCTATGAAATCTGATTCTTCTCCCTGGTCATTCACATTTCCCAATATGTGCGACTTGTTCAGTAGCAGCCATTCAAAATGGCCCTTCCTATCAAACGCCAGCAGAATGGCATCCCTCCAACTCCCAGCGAAATCCCCTCCAACTCCCAGCCACTAGAGTGACCTCCTCTTGCATATTTTTTTACTCTGACTCCAGCCTTTCACTTACAATAACAGGGTCTGACCAGGAGATGGCGCTTCTCTTTAGATCCTAATCATGGCAGAAAGAATATTTTAGTACAAATATTGATATTTAAAAGGGAATTGTAGGAGACCGGCCAAGGACCGGCCAAAGACCGGCCAAGGACCGGCCAAAGAACGGCCAAAGACCGGCCAAGGACCGGCCAAAGACCGGCCAAAGACCGGCCAAGGACCGGCCAAAGACCGGCCAAAGACCGCCCAAGGACCGGCCAAGGACCGGCCAAAGACCAGCCAAGGACCGGCCAAAGACCGTCAAAGACCGGCCAAGGACCGGCCAAAGACCGGCCAAGAACCGGCCAAGGACCGGCCAAAGACCGGCCAAGGACCGGCCAAAGAACGGCCAAAGACCGGCCAAGGACCGGCCAAAGACCGGCCAAAGACCGGCCAAGGACCGGCCAAGGACCGGCCAAAGACCGGCCAAGGACCGGCCAAAGAACGGCCAAAGACCGGCCAAGGACCGGCCAAAGACCGGCCAAGGACCGGCCAAGGACCGGCCAAAGACCGCCCAAGGACCGGCCAAAGACCGGCCAAAGACCGGCCAAGGACCGGCCAAAGACCGGCCAAAGACCGGCCAAGGACCGGCCAAGGACCGGCCAAAGACCGCCCAAGGACCGGCCAAAGACCGGCCAAAGACCGGCCAAGGACCGGCCAAGGACCGGCCAAAGACCGGCCAAAGACCGGCCAAAGACCGGCCAAAGACCGGCCAAGGACCGGCCAAAGACCGGCCAAAGACCGGCCAAGGACCGGCCAAAGACCGGCCAAGGACCTGCTAAGGACCGGGCAAGGACCAGCCAAGGAAAGTGGGGAAATTTTTAATGGCTACTGTAGTGATCTCCTGTGTGAACTGCATTCATACAACTTAAGTGTCCCGCATGCAATGATGACACAAGTAGTGAGCGTGCTCTGCAGTAACATGAGTAAACATGGATGCTAGTGCTGGTCTGTCACATCTACTGATCTTTAATTTCTTTTCCAACCTCAGCCAGAGCAACAAAAACACAATCTTTTCAAGAAGGTTGAAAATAGAGACTGCTTCTCCGCATTATCATCCGCCATGGTTGCTTTTCTTCCTGCTTCTGCGTAGAAAGACGCAGAATATGGACCTTTGGAGTATTGATGGTGTTCAGGTCTGATGAATACGACCCAAGTCACATTCAACCGGAATTTGTATCGGATCGAGGACCACAGAGCCAAGTGGCCTGGGCCGCATTAGAACTAATCAGATCTGTGTTGTTAAGAGAGTCATGAAAAGTTCTCAGAAAAATCGGATTTGGGTCACTTCAGGCTGCTGTGTGACATAGCCTTTGAAGACATGATGATCTGTTGGTAGTTTGGTGATCATCTGTTAATATTTCTAATCTTGAAAGGTAACAGAATGCAGTCTCAGTGTTAATGTGGCGCAATGATCAGGAGGATTTAATCATGACGGCACTGACCTCCAAGCAATGGAAGCAAAGACCTGCTCTGAGGACTCTGGGGTGTTTAGAAAAAAAAAAAAAAAACAACTGGCCTCCATAGAACCAGAGGAGTAAGGTGGCTGGAATTTCATGCTGTGGTGTTAAACAGGCGACCTCTGCATACTGTCCTCTCACCCCAGCCGCTCGGTCCTGCAGGATTCCTGCAGCGTCGCGGTGGCTCAGGCCCAGCTGCAGCCACACGGAATGAGTGTGCGTCAGTCTGTCCAGGAAACTGAGCCCCCGGTGGAGCGAGTCGTAGCCAGAGTCCCGGGCTTTGGGTGGTCCGCCTCCCATCGTGGAACAGGGTGAGGCTTGAAGAAACAGACGTCCCACCTCTTCACTCAGCCTGGAAAACAGTCAGAGAAGAAGAAACCAGGCTGATTAGGACTACTATCAGAACAGTTTGTTGGGCTGAAAATACCGAATCTCCTGATGGCAACTCGAGCAACAGCATGACTGTTTTCAGAGGTCCTAAACCCTGGCTGCAGAGCAGAATCATTTCACTCATCTAGATTTCTACATCTAGATAAGTCATTTTTTCTTAAAATAAGTGAATTTGTACTTGAAATGAGGAGGTACAAGTGACTTTTTGCCAATGGAACAAGTCAATTTACATTTAAAATAAGACAAAACTACTGCATTGTCTTATTTCAAGCGCACATTATCTAATTTAAGAGCTTCCATTTTCAGGAAGCTGCTAGTTCCTTGTTCCTTTTGGCTCAGCGTAGCTTTGTGATCCTCTGTTGCGTTTTTTCTTTCCTGAAATGTAATTCCAAAATGGTAGATCTATCCAGGTGGTGTAGAATCTACAGCAGGTGGTTCTACCAGGGTTTATAACTAGTAACTCTAATTTAATGTTTTATCGGAGAAATCATTTCTTCCACCTCGAGCTTCTTTTCCGAAAAATACAGCTTTACAATCAACCATGAAGCAATTCCACGCAAATATATTGCGATATATCTGACAAAATTGTTTTTATAAACTATTAAATACCACGATAATCACATTAATGAAGTTTAATGCCAATTAAGGCCTTAATTTAATAAATAATAAGTTAATGACTTTTAACTAATAATAATCAGGTGGTTTTCCAAAGTTACAGGTTCTACAAAATTACTCTTAAAATGACAGAAATATGCTGATATTAGAAAATTTTATCTGTATTTTTTAACACTTAATTTGAAATGCATTTACTTTTGAATACTTAAGTATTTTCAAAAGTGAGTACTTCACTCCTTTAACTTCCATAGATGTTTGACGGAGTGACTTTTAATTGTAGTTAAATAAGATTTGACTGAGTGTCCAAGACTTTTACTTCAGTAATACTGTTGAGTACTTCATCCACTGGTTAAACCTAACTCCTCATGGTCCCCACAAGTACCTATAAGTCAACAAAATGTAGCAGATCTCTGGAAAATTGTCCCCACTAGGTACCAATAGCCATAAAGACCAATGATTGGAGTAACGGTGTCGAAAGTAACGCCATTACCTTTTTTTAGAAACGAGTAATCAAAATTATTACACTTACTCTAACTATAAAGCAGTTACAATTGCCGAGACTGCACATTACTCAGGTCGCACAATGAACCTTTTTTTCATGATTGGAGTCGTGCGCGCCTTGTCATGAGAGAGGGGAGGATGAGATTGACTGTTACGGGTGTTAACGTACAGCACACACAGAGAGATGGAGAGTGAGGAGGACTCCAGCAGTAAAACAGCGTTTTCCACATGGAAATACTGGTGTTACGTAGAGCTGCGTTTCCTCATCAGATACGGTTTCCCCTGCATCTCCGCACAGCGCAGGCGGCACGATTCACCGCACAGGCGACAGGAAACGCGCATGCTCACTAAAGGCGCGCAACAGTCGCCCTGTGCTCGCGCCACTGGGGAACTATAGAGAGCGTGAACGATCAAATGATAGCCTATATGGAGAGAGGGAGAAATATGGATGGATGGATGGATGGATGGATGGATGGATGGATGGATGGATGGATGGATGGATGGATGGATGGATGGATGGATGGATGGATGGATGGATGGATGGATGGATGGATGGATGGATGGATGGATGGATGGATAGATAGATAGATAGATAGATAGATAGATAGATAGATAGATAGATAGATAGATAGATAGATAGATAGATAGATAGATAGATAGATAGATAGATAGATAGATAGATAGATAGATAGATAGATAGATAGATAGATAGATAGATAGATAGATAGATAGATGTTGCAGTATCTATAACAACCCAAACACCCTGTTTGAATGCCCTGTTAAAAAACTTCACACCCATGAGTAGAGGCAATGCAGCCTGATGATATTTACACCGCATCAGATAGCATTCCCCCCATGTTAAGCAGGGGGAACGCTATCTGATGGGGTTTATAGGCCCGTCACATGGCGTTCCACCCTGATGTCATTTACGTTGAGTTGCAATAAATGCTAAACTCTCTGCAGGTTCTTCTCTTTGTCGTCCGCTCTATTCAGCTGGCTTTGGAAACACACGGCAAGAAGGTGGGGGCTGGGTGGTGAGGGTTACGGGGGCGAGAAACGCAAAAGTAACGCAATAGTTACTATTAATAGTGACTAGTTACCTTTATTGTGGAGTAACTCAGTTAGTAACTCAGTTACTTTTTGGGAAAAGTAACAAGTAACTATAACTAATTACTTTTTCAAAGTAACGTGCCCAACACTGATAAAGACACACACCTAAGAGAGTCTTAGACAACTTCCAGGGGGCGTGGTCAGTGACAGGGCTCACATCAAGCACTTTAGATAACAATGGCTGACTCCTGCAGAGGTTAGATGCTGTACCTCCTGCTGTACCTCAGTCTAACCCTAAACACCTGAGAAGAGCGCCCTCGGCTGATAGCTATAGAACCTGCACTTTGTGAGCAGAGTATTAGGGTATGGTGGGTGAAACAGGATATAGAACAGGAAGTGAGCTCACCTTACATGTGGGTCCTTTTCCTGACCTTCTTCTGCCGGCTCACTCTTCCTCCTCATCTCCTGCTTCAGCGTGCCGATCTCCCAGGCAATCGAGTCGATCAGCTGGAGAAACATCAGCACTCAGTGATGTAGGTGCATTCTATCCCAACTTTTCTATCATTACACACTAGAGATGGGATCAGAACATTTATTGCTATCATTAGAAACCTGTCTGTGAGCTGGACAGAACCAGAACCTATAGATTCACACACATCTAATGAACCAGAGTTTAACAGTGACAAAGCAGACGCCATCAGATATCCTCATCCATCCATCCATCCGTCCATCCATCCATCCATCCGTCCATCTATCCATCCATCCATCCATCCATCATCCATCCATCCATCCGTCCATCCATCCATCCATCCATCCATCCATCCATCATCCATCCATCCATCAATCCATCATTCATCCATCCATCCATCCATCATCCATCCATCCATCCGTCCATCCATCCATCCATCCATCCATCCATCCATCATCCATCCATCCATCCATCCATCCATCCGTCCATCCATCCATCCATCCATCCATCCATCCATCATCCATCCATCCATCATCCATCCATCCATCCTTCATCCATCCATCCATCCATCCATCATCCATCCATCCGTCCATCCATCCATCCATCCATCCATCCTTCATCCATCCATCCATCCATCCATCATCCATCCATCCATCATCCATCCATCCATCATCCATCCATCCGTCCATCCATCCATCCATCCATCCTTCATCCATCCATCCGTCCATCCATCCATCCATCCATCCTTCATCCATCCATCCATCCATCCATCATCCATCCATCCATCCATCCATCAATCCATCCATCATCCATCCATCCATCATCCATCCATCCATCCATCCATCCATCCATCCATCATCCATCCATCCATCCATCCATCCATCTATCCATCCATCCGTCCATCCATCCATCCATCCATCCATCCGTCCATCCATCCATCCATCCATCCATCATCCATCCATCCATCCATCCATCCATCATCCATCCATCCATCTATCCATCCATCCGTCCATCTATCCATCCATCCATCCATCCATCCATCCATCCATCATCCATCCATCCATCCGTCCATCCATCATCCATCCATCATCCATCCATCCATCCATCCATCCATCCATCCATCCATCCATCCATCCGTCCATCCATCCATCCATCCATCCTTCATCCATCCATCCATCATCCATCCATCCATCCTTCATCCATCCATCCATCAATCCATCAGCTTCAGCAGAAAAAGCAAACGTCAGGTTTAAGTGTCCTTTCTCTCCAACCATGTTTTCTGAGGGAGTCTGACCACTGGCATTGAAGTATCATTATTGCCCCCTGGTGGTCACTGATTTAACAGCAACAGTTTAATAATTCAACCAACTCATTATACAATAATCCAAAAGCTAAAGGAACAAAAGTGTTTCAGTCCATTTTCCCTTCATCTTGGCAGCAGCTCAGCTTGGGTATTGGCAGATCGACGTAGCTTGAAGTCATGGATTATCTGGATCCACCAGGATGGTTCTTAATGACCTCACTTTGTAAAGTTCAATTAAATTAGCCTGTATGAGGCAGCACTGGGAATCCTGCTGCTTGCACTGGCCTTTCAGAAGCTAGGTTTCTGTTTCATCAGATGAACTCCTATTAAAACCACAAATGATCTCAGTGAGTCTGTCATCAAGGTTAGTTCCCTGACTTCTATACTGGTTCATAACCACTTCATTTCCAGGAAGGTTAGCTCTGGTTAGCTCACTTTCAGGAACTGGGAGCTGCAGAAATTATTCTTTTATTTTCAGTGTCTCTTCCTGTTCCTTAAAGACAGGTCGATCACTTAGTCAGTGACTTTAGGGGAGGTCCTTTTCATCCAACGTTAAAAATCTACCAGCCTTAAGAGTATCTGTGTCTGGGAGAGACCTGGAAGGTTAAACAGTAATTAAAGGTGATTTTTAAGTCATTCAGAGGGCACATAAACCTTTTCTTTCTCTTCAGCTTCACTGTAACCGTTTCCATAGGTCATCTATGACAGAGTAACCTGGGAACTTCTGAAGCTGGGCGCCTGTGGAGCTGACGGAGAAGTGTGGAAGAAGGACAGAACGGTACCAGAACGGTCCTCTGGGCACAGAACCCGTGCCGGTTCAGGCCATTCCATCCAGTGCACACCGGTGGTGGAGGCCACATCCTTTTAACAGTACCACAGCTGTATGGGGATGCTAGGTTTAACCTGCTAAATCCTCACAGGCGACCCTTGGGTAGATTTCTGCCCTTGAAAAACTGGGAGAACAGGATTTCTCTCTCCACATGTATTTCTCTCTCCACATGTACTGTTAGGCACTGATGCTCAACTGTCACAGATAGTTTTGATCTATGCCCAATATTGAAGCGTGGTCTGCGCTATGTTATTCCACGCCACAACGCAAGAGGGACAATCAGTAACTAGTAGAGGTGGGCGGATCGATCCCAGGATCGATACTATCGATACCAACGCTGGTATTTATATTGAACAATATTCGTTTAACAAGATCGATACTTTTTATCCTCTCTCGCGCGCGCTGACTGCTGCGGAGTCACCAGTTTCCCCATATGTGTAACAGCACTTTGCTCCCCCTCCCCTCTCCTACAGTCACATGGCTCAGCGGCGCCAGCCAATCAGCGCGCAGGCTTAGCTTGGCCTGCCCACTCAGCACTACGTCACACAGACAACCGCGCTGCCGGTTGCTGGGTGAGTGCTCACTCAGACTTGGATGGAGAGAGAGACCAAAGACCCGCCTCCAGCCTCAGACAGACATCTTTGACCCAAGCGTTTCAGTCCTCCAGAGAATATCCAGGTAGATAACAGTGGTCATCGTCTGCAGCACTTCATTATACATCATATATTACTCAGAAAGTGTAGTTAAGACCTTGAAAAAACCCAGTACATTTATCCCATTAAAAATTGTTAGCTAAAATAAGCTAACATTAGATAATCTCTTATTTATTCCACGATTGAGAACTTTATAGAAAAAAAGCAACAGGCAAGTGCAGCTTAAATGTAAAAAGTATCGGTATCGATATCGGCGATACTGACCCAGTATTTACTTGGTATCGGATCGATTAAAAAATCCCGGTATCGCCCACCTCTAGGAACTAGCTGTGGGTCTAGATACGGTCGAGGCGGTGAGGAAGGGGGGGCAAGTTTGTGCGACAACGGAGGGACATGAGGGCCAAAAAGAGCGGGGATCCAGTTGAAAAAAGGGTCCCAGCGTTCTTGTGCACCTCGCTCTTCTAGCTGGTCCAACTTCACGAGTCTAGGGCTGCAACAACGAATCGATAAAATCGATAAAAATCTACTTTTAAAAGCGTTGGCAACGAATTTCATCATCGGTTAGTTGTGTCGCGCGATTAATGCGTCATCCGCCGCCGCCGTCATCACATCCACTTGACTGAAACGGGGGAAGAAAAAAAAAATTACGGCAGAGCGAGCCAGCGCCGCAGGTGCAGTGTTGCCAACTCAGCGACTTTGTTGCTATATTTAGCGACTTTTCAGACCCTTCCAGCGACTATTTTTTTTAAAAAGCGACTAGCGACAAATCTGGCGACTTTTTATGGTGTCACTGGCGGCTTTTGGAGACTTACGTGAAAGCATGTATCGTTCCTACTCCTGTCCTGCAGCAGCAGCTGCTGCCGTGAGGCGCCTCCCCCATCCCAACCCCGTTCTCCCGCAGGAATCCCTCTCAGCGCTGCAGTCAGACTGCGTCCAGACTGCAAATGAAGCGCGCATGCGCCGGGATTGACGGCGCAAATTGATCACAATAATTAAAATAGCCTTTATAAATAAATTAACTTGCAAATTATGAGGGCAAGGCTTTTAAAGTTTAAATCTTCTGGCAAAGAAGGCTATTTTTATCTCTATGGTTCAGTATTTTCTCAAGTAGCAACTTTAACTGCTATACTTTCCTGTCTTAAAAGGCAGAACTCTTCTAGTAAAAAAAAAAAAAAAACTCATTTGTTGAAATGGGGGGACCTATTGTTTGAACCCCTTAGGGGGCTTTTAAAAAAAAATGTCTTTTTATGCACTTTATGAAACAAAGTTTCATAAAGTGTTTTAACACAAACATTTATTTTTCATATTGCACCAGTACAGTTAATGAGCAACCTGTACTTGTGTGCTTGTTTGTTCTGTTTAAAATGTTTATTTTGGAATAAAGAGGTTAATATAAAAAAGATTTTTTGTCCGAAAAAATAATCGGCCGATTCATCGATTTTTAAAATAATCGTTAGTTGCAGCCCTACACGAGTCGTTTTCCACAATGGCGGTCATACAAAGAAAACAAGCCGATAAGGTACCAAACAGGAAATACACATTTAGAGCGGATGTAGATTTGACCAATCAGAGGCCTCCTGTCTGCGGTCACCTACAAGTTTGGAGAGCTGCAGCAGAGTGTCTGCGGAAGGGGCGGGGCATATTTGCATTCACTGTGACACACATGCAGGTGACCTGGTTTCTGAGTATAAATCAGCCTTTAGACGGGTATGGGGCATTGCAGGCTAACAAAAGAAGCCAAACGACCTCCATTCCAAAGGGGTGGACCCGTTCGTCCATTTCTATTTGCATGTTTTCTAAACAAGAACAAGGCTTTGTTGGGCTACTGTATAAAGCTTGGAACTCAACGCTATTCCCGACATTTTGAATTGAAAATCTTGGATTGGAAGAGAAACGTCTTCAAACTTGGATTGGTTATATCTTTCTGTTTTTGAAAACATAGAGCCTGGTTTGTGGGAAGGGTTCCTGCAGTGGAAGCTCTTGGATGCTCTCTACCCTTACATGATGCTCACATCAGTCCAGCTGCATGAAAACAGGGAGAACCAATGTCCCTAAAACCAAACCAGCAGCTCCTCTAACTGGTAGCTCCCTGATCTGTTTCAGCATCTCCAGCTTGGAGCCAGAGAGCTCTGATCCCCCCCCCAGGTCTGATGAGAAAATCTGCTGCTGCTTCTTTTTCAAGGTAAAGAGTATCAGAAAAGTTCACACACCTGGAAGAAGCTGCCCCTCTTCTGCTGCTCACAGGGCGGACTGGTCATGGTGTCTCCTCTCTCAGGGTAATGTTTCATCTGGAGGGGATCCAGGCTGCTGGTCCAGGGAGTCACAGCACCTCCCAACTCAAAGAGGAGCTGAAGAACAGACCCTCAGTGTCAGAAGGATGCTGAAAAGGTCAGAGGAGAAGGGAGAGGATTTAAAGGAGCCTGCAGGAGGAGCATTAGTATCATTGGTTCATTAGGTGACAGGTGGCGTCAGCGCCTGCGTATTGGGCGTGTCCCTGCTGGCGTGTGTGCGCCTACTGATGCAGAGTGGTGAGGGTGAATGGGTGAGAAAGGGATATTTTTCATATCTGCGCAGTCTGTTTGTAGCTTTAATCATTGATTGGATTTTGATTAAGGTCGACAAAAAAAATAAACTCTTAAAATAAGTGTTTTTTTCTTAAATTTAGGTGGAAAGTGAGACACTTTGCCAATGGAACAAGAGAATTTACCTTTAATATAAGAAAAAAACAATTACATTCTCTTATTTCTAGTGCATATTATCTAATTATCTTATTTTATGAGCAAAACTACTCATTTTATTGGCAAATTATCTTATTAACCTGCTCAAATAAAGGGGAATAATTTGTACATATTTCTAGATTGTTTTTGCAGTGCAGAATTTAGCCCACAGCGGCCCCCACAGTTTAGTCCCGTTTGACTCTAGAGTCGTTCTCTACAGAGGAACGTCAGCTGACCATCCAGGCTCCTGGACGGCAGATGCATCCTCTGTCACAGGGTTTTGAAGTTCCTTCCTGGTGGCTTTTTTTTGCAGGATTTTTTCAGGTTTTTCCAGCCAGAAGAAACCGTTTTTTCCTGTTTCTTCTGGAAGAAACTTGGAAAATCAATTACTGGAAAGTTTTGTTTCTTTTGGTGAATATTTAGCCTTAAGCTAAGGCCCAGATCCAGCAATAACCTGGAGGTGGGGTTCAATGTCTATAAACCAGGGAGGTTTGGGGGCAGGAAGAGCAGAAGAAATGAAAGAAAAAGAAGGAGCTGGACTGCTGTTCTGGATGTACACTGGAAAAAAATAGAAATCTAGAAACGTCATTCTTTGTTAAAATAAGTGCATTTGTTCTTGGATTGAGGAGGTAAAAGAGACATTTTGCCAATGGAACAAGACAATTTACGATTACAATAAGAAAACACAATTGCATTCTCTTATTTCGGGTGCATATTATCTAATTATCTTATTTTAAGAGTAAAACGTATTTACCTGCTAAAACAAAGGGGAAATACACTTAATTTGAAAAATGTTTTACTTATTTCTAGATCGTTTTTCCAGTGTATATATGCAGTATTTCAACTCGACTGTTACTTTGAACACTGGAGAAACGATCTAGAAATAAATAAAACTTTATCAAATTAAGTATATTTACCCTTAATTTGAGCAGGTAACTGAGATGAGTATTTTTACTCTTAAAATACACTTAAAATAAGAGAATGTAATTGTGTTTTCTTATTTTAAACCTAAATTATCTTGTTCCATTGGCAAAATGTCTATTTTACCTTTGTTAATTCAAGAACAAATTCACTTATTTTAAGAAAAAAATGACTTTGCAGTGCAAGTTTTATTCATTCATCTAGATTAGTATTAGATACACTTAATAAATTCTTAATCTGTGTCACTGTGTGTATTCTCATAAAGATTTCTCCTCACGTGTGAGGATATGGTGAGTTGATATTTTCAATAGAACTTTTGCAGTTCTCCAAAATAGCATCTATTAGCAGTTTCTTCCAGAAGAAACTCAGCCCTGCTCCATCACCTCATGTTCTTCCAGCTTTGGTGGGTTTTCCTTCGAGATGTTCAAACAGGGTTCCTACTCATTCCTCATGGTGACAGTTTGTGCCTTTTTTTTTCCGGGCCTTTAGGTCCATTTTAAGTCTGTTAAAGAACAACAGGACGGACCTGAGGTAAACCAGAAGGAAGGAAAACATGCACTGGAAAAAATCTATAAGCCATTTTTTCTTAAAATAAGTGCATTTGTTCTTGGATTGAGGAGGTAAAAGAGACATTTTGCTAATGGAACAAGACAATTTACATTTAAAATAAGAAAACGCAATTGCATTGTCTTATTTCAAGCGCATTTTATCTACCGTAAATTCCAGACTATAGAGCCACCTGATTACAAGCCGCACCCTCTAATTTTAGAAAGAAAATCAATTTTGTACTTTTATAAGCCGCACTGGATTTTAATCCGTATGGTAAAACAAACAAATACGATCATCCTTGTCGCTCTCACTTGAGCACTCGCGGTCCTCTTCCTCCCGCAGCAGCCCAGCCTTCCGAAACCCGCCGGTGATGCTGGATGTTTTCACACGGCTTTACGCATTGAGAACCCACTGGCAGACATCAGTGAAAGATGCCCTTCGCATGCGGCCAGTTTTGGTGAAGGATTTCTCGCCACTGGTCATCACCTCTGTGAATACTCATCAATTTTATTGGTCTGTTTTTCACGCCATGAAAAAAAACATGTATTAGCCGCACTGTATTATAGGCCGCAGTGTTCAAACAGCGGGGAAAAAAGTAGCGGCTTATAGTCCGGAATTTACGGTAGATATCTTATTTTAAGAGTAAAAATACTCATTCAATTGCCAAATCATGTCATTTATCTACTCAAATTAAGGTTAATACACTTAATTTAAGAATTTTTAACTTATTTCTAGATTGTTTTTCCAGTGTGAAGACAAAAAGCTTCTTCCATTGTCTGCTGATGTGACCTTCCTGGTCAGCAGCTCATAGCAGCTCCATGACAGGTCATCATCTCCTCATTTACATGATTCCTATTTTCCTTAGATAACTTCTAGGGAAATCAGAGTTGAAGTTCATGGCTTTATTTCATGGGTTCATTTCTAATTACCTGAATCTTTCACCATAATGTCATAACGCCTAAACAGGTTCTACCAGATTCCCAGTTCAAGGAAGTCTGTCTTTCACCAGAAGCTAAATATACAGCAGCATCACAAAGCACTCCCAGGTGTTTTCACACTGGAAAAAAATCTAAATCTAGATGAATCATTTTTTCTTAAAATAGGTGAACTTGTTCCTGGATTGAGGAGATGCCAATGGAACGAGACAGTTTAGATTTTAAATAAGAAAACACAATTGGATTGTCTTTTTTAGAGGGCATATTATCTAATTATCTTATTTTAAGAGTAAAAATACTCATTCCATTGCCAAACTGTCTCATTTCCCTGCTTGAATTAAGGGAAAATACACTTAATTTAAGACATTTTTACTTATTTCTAGATCGTTTTTCCAGTGCGTATAGAACTATTCTGAGCAGAACCAGTATGACCCAGTCATTCTAACTGGTTATTATCATCCACTTGAACATAAACCAGACCAGAACAAACCATCCAGTCCCTTCATCCACTGGGGGAGGAAACATTCAGATCTGAGTCATACTGCAGTGCAGAAGAATAACAACATGTGTTAACTCATAGTTTTAGGCACCAGATGCATTCGTCACCCCTGGTATTTCAGATCCAGATCCAGGTTTTTGGTTAAAAATGTATCCGAGGAGAATTCCCGGGCTTTATCCTGAGTGGCAGCAGTCTGGGTCAACACAGCAGTCCATAAAGAACTTATGCAAAGGTAAGTAATTAAAAGAGGAATACATTTCAGATTTATGTTTGTTTCTTATCTACACATTAATCTGACATAGAAGTTTTGAAAATACAAATATTAGTTAGAAATGGTCAATTATGCAAGAACTAATCCCAACTTCATGAGTCTCCTACCCAGGCTTTTATCTATCAATGCATGCAGGCGAGCACTGCAGGATGGTAATCTGGATGAACTGACTGAACAGACCATGTTTTCAGGACTTTCTCACTTCAAAATAGATTCAAACTCTTTTTACCCACTGATCACAGCAAATCTAGCAAAGCCGCTCTCTGCTATTGAACACAGGAACAGCAGAAGCATCAGACGCTACTGGACAAACTTTACTGGACGTCTGACCTTAAAACTTTATAGGGCAAGTTAGCATTTTTGATCACCTGCAAATGGAGTCCCCCCCCCTCAGTGAGGTCTAGAAGCACAAGATCTATATCCAGCCATTCTTTAAAGATGCTGCTACATGGCTGTACATCTTATTTTGCAGTCTGACCAATTAGATGAGCCCTTGAATGACAGATTACCTACTGGAAATTAAGTTGGAAAAATATTTTTAAAAGGTAAAAAAGGTAAAAAGCTAATTGAAAAGTGAAAAAGTAAATAGGGATGCACGATATAATCGGCCCCCTATCGGTATCGGCCTGTTTCGGCCTTAAAACTGAATATCGGACATCGGCCACCCCACCGATATTTAACCCGATATTTGATCAGCTTCTGAGTTTCTAAAGTCTAAAAAAATACTACTTCTTCTTCTTCCTCAAAAACTTCTTTTTTACAGACTTAAAAACTTCTAAAGACGAGGGAAAAAATATTGATACATTAAAATATCACAATATCTTCATATGCTGATATATTACCATTTAAAAACACCACATCAATCTCTTACTAATGAAATATTGCTATATGTCATCGTTATGCTACGAAATCCCCCGAAAATTCACGAAATGTTGCCATATTTTTAAATGTTGATATATTGACACGGTATCGATCTATTTCACTAACAAAATCTCACAAGAATTTGCAAAATATCACGAGAGTTTGTAACAGAACGATGAAATTTCACGAGATTTTGAAAGTAAAATAGATCGATACCGCATTTTTAAAAATCAATTTGATATCAGCATATGGAAATATATTTGAGTATATTATTTTTCAAAGTGTCAGAAATGGATAACAAAACTGCTATTTTCAATGACTACTTATTTTTGTCCAACTTTAACATCGGTATCGGTATCGGTTATCGGCTACATGAGTTTTAAAATATCGGCATATCGGCATATCGGCTAAAATCCCAATATGGTGCATCCCTAAAAGTAAAGTTAAAAAGTTAATAAGCCTAGTTAACAATTATATTGATGTTTATAAACTAAAAAATGTCAGTGCCAGCATCAGCATTACTGCCTCTAAGGTTATGTTGGACCAAAAAATGTGTTTTTTTCATGAATTTCTTATAGAAGCACTTTTGTTATTTTTCTTAATATATTGGGGCGAGTTGGTGTTTATTATTTAATTTTTCCATCAAAATATTCATATTTTTTTAATGTTCAAAGGTAATAAGGTCTTGTCCTGGATTCCAGTAACACTATTGGCTTGAAATGTTATTTTCAAAGTATTTCACTGAGAGCCCTATGAAGGGTTAATTTGGACAAGCATCAGAAATTAAGCAGCAGAAGCTTTTTGCTGCTCAAATTGCGTTCGGTGTGAACGTTAGATTTTCTGATTGTTTGATTTAACCTATGAAACATAATATTATCGTTAAAATGATTTCATATCTTCCTTCTGAATTTTCCACCTCTAGTCAAGCACAAATACTTCCCATAATCAGGACTAAAGAGGTGTTGGAACAAAGACAATCAGATAGCTGCATTCCACCTCTAAATGCAGGAAATAGAGCTTCAGAGTCTGAATTTCTACATTTTCAGGGGAAAGATCCCTCCTGACCCCCCTATGCTGCATAGAACCCAAACATGTGAAACACCAAGGTGGACACCTATGAATTATTACCAGCTAAAAGCCTGCTGGTGACGCCTGATGAGGCTCTGACGCTCCTTAGCAGCGGTAATACGCCTGAAAGTTTCCCACACACTGCCATGAAACCAGAAGAGGAAGAAGACGAAAACAGAACCATCCAGGTATTGGTGCTGCATGTCTGCAGGACCATGGGTTCATGGTTTTCACATGCAGTGAAAACATGTTTTCATCTTTTCCAATCCACTCTTCATGGAGCATTCAAATCCACACTATCTGGTGGTTTAAACAGGACCTGCTGGGCCTCTAGTGACCCAGTGGACTAGTTTAAGGCTGACCTCATTCCACGTTCATCAACATGAAGGTTTGTTCTCAGACATAGAAGCCCTGATCCAACCCAGACATCAGTGCATCATTTAATTTATGGTCGTTTTCAAACATGTCCATTTTCCTTTTATTTCTACGCAGTTTTCTCCTTTTCTTTTTTTAATCATCTAGATCAGAAGTTTGGCTTAGTCTCCATTCAAACCAAGTTTAAAGCCTTGCAGGGCAGCATAAAGCCCACTGCCAACATTAAGACAGAAATAACGGTCAGTTCAGGTGTTTTATAAAAGATGTGAATCAGGAAATCGTCTATATACCAAACTGAGCAATTGTTGTTCTCAACTTTAGATTTTAAAATGGAAATGTTTCTTCTTTTTATCATATATACATTTTTTATTTAAAAATTCAATGTATAACATCTGTTTAAAGTAACATATCATTAAAAATCTCTCTGGACCTTCACTGGTTGATGATTTTCTTTATTTGGACCCTTTGATTTTTAATTGGTTACTCCTGGTCCAGATATTTCTTAATAGTTTTATTTAAACTTGACCAGGCTAGTTAAGGACTGTTTCTATTTCAGCCAAATAGTTCAGTTAATAATTCTAATATTTTGAACAGATTTTGTTGTTGCTTTGATCCGTATGGGTGCAGTTTGTTTTTTTTAACAATGATAGGGGTTGAACTGACTCCTCACTCTGGTCTCTTTTAGCCGTCTTCACAGGACACAGATATGACATTTATTTCCTTATTTCCTTATTTCCTAATAGCGCACCAATACCAAAAGTTTATTCAACTATTGTCACCCATTCCAGGTAGGCAATAAAAAGCTCTACTGGATTCTCTTTGTATTAGTCTGTTTCCTGCTTCTCAAAGGTAGGCAGCAGGTTGACAAAGCCATGATGGCAGTTATTTTACATCCAAGTAGTATGAAGTTCTTCATATAGACACACACATCAATTTCTAGCAGGTAATCTATCATTCAAGGGCTCATCTAATTGGTCAAATACCACAATAAGATGTACAGCCATATAGCAGGATCTTTAATGAATGGCTGGATATAGATCTTGTGCTTCTAGACCTCACTGAAGGACGGGGGCGGTACTCCATTTGTAAGGAGGATGCAAGTGATCAAAAAGGCTAACTTGCGCTATAAAGGGATAGCATAGTTAACAATCATATTTAGGTTTATAAACTATAAAATGTCAGTGCCAGTATCAGCATTAATGTCTCTAAGGTTATTTTGGACCAAAAAAATTTGTTTCTTTCACTCTCTGAGTGTTTTACATGAATTTCTTGTAGAAGCACTTTTGTTATTTTTCTTAATATTATCGGGCTAGTTGGTGTTTCTTGTTATTACATTGACATTAATCTTTGCCATCAAAATATTCATATGTTTTGAATGTCCCAAAGCTAATATGGTCTTGTCCTGGATTCCAATAACATTATTGGCTTGAAATTTTGATTTTTAAAGGATTTCATTGATTGCCCTATGAAGGGTTAACTCCATTTAATGAGCCCAAACCTATCAGAACAGTTTGGTTCTGGTTCTGTAGAGCGTTAAAGCACCAAAATAACAACATACCTTCTAATGGTTAAAGAAAAAAATAGTAAAAATCCAGGAGATGATATGAAACAATCTTCTAAACCTTTATTTCCTTCTTGATGATTTCCCAGCATATCAGCTAAAGTAATTTAATGGAATATCTGCCTAACAGGATATTTTATTCCATAGATCAAACTTTAATAGATTTTATGCATATTTCGTGATCAGGCTCTGCGTTGCCATAGAAACAATGATTACAAATAACTTTGATTTTCAGTGTTTAGGTGCTTGAAGGTGTTTTTGCTTCAGCTAGAAGCTACAGAAATAATGAGTTTTCTTTCCTTCCTAAAGGTTAAATCTATTTATTTTAAACTCTAAACAGGTTCATTTTTATTTTCTATATGTATAAATGTGATGTGTGTCCTCCGCAGAGCTCAGGCTGATGCTCTGGTTCCTCCGGAGGAGCTGACCGGGACAGCGTCCCAGCCAGCAGGCGGTGCAGGAGGACAACTGTCCAACTTACCGACCCGGGAGGAGGAGACCCTCGCAGGCTGACCGACGGAGCCTCCATCCGGCCGCCGCATGTCCTCCAGCTGCGGCTCGGTTCGGGTCGGTACCGGCGGGCCGTCAGAGTTCGGGTTAAAAGCAGTAAAAGTCCAGAACCGTCTCCGTCCACATTCCTGAAGTGCTGTCGAGTCAACTTCCCAGATTCTTATAGTGTGAAGCTGTCGCTGCTGCGCGCGAGACTTCCGCTGCTTTTCAGAATAAAAGCCCAGAGAGCGTTGATGACAGGTCTGCATTTCTTGTCCAGGAAGTATCTGCTTCATCCCCCTTTCAAATGGGGTATCCCCGTCCCTCAGTGAGGTCTAGAAGCACAAGATCTATATCCAGCCATTCATTAAAGATGCTGCTACATGGCTGTACATCTTATTTTGGTATTTCACCAATTAGATGAGCCATTGAACGATATATTACCTACTGTAAGCTAAGTTGGAAAAAAGTTAGCAAGTCAAGAAAAAATAAATAAAAAGCTAATTGAAAAGTTAAAGAGTAAAGTTAAAAAGTTAATAAGCCTAGTTAACAATAACATTTAGGTTTATAAACTAAAAAATGTAAGTGCCAGTATCAGCATTAATATCTCTAAGGTTATGTGTTTTTCATGAATTTCTTATAGAAGCAATTTTGGTATTTTTCTTAAAATATTCAAGGAAGTTGGCGTTTCTTACAATTACATTGGCAATAATTTTTACCATCAAAATATCCATATTTCTTTAATGTTCCAAAGGTAATAAGGTCTTGTCCTGGATTCCAATAACACTATTGGCTTGAAATGTTGATTTTTAAAGGATTCCACTGAGTGCCCTATAAAGGGTTAAAGATTCAAATCAACAACAGTACAGTTTAGTTATATAATTCAGTTCAATTCACTTCTATAGCACCAATTAACAACACATGTCATCTCAAGGCACTTTACAGTTCAGTTTGAATGATGAGAAGAGTAAAAGCTGTCCCCTCTGTCCCATTAAGACAGAGGAAAGGACATCTGTTGCTTTCAGCTGACTCTTCACAAGGAAATGACTCAACGTCATTAAGACTATTAGTCAAAGTACTTTTTTTATGTTACACATTTAAATATAACTAGCCATAACCCACCTCCCAAACCAGCCTCTAGCACTAACCCTCCTTGCAGAGGTCCTGCCGCATTAAGGGTCATCCCAAACCAATTACTGGGTAGGGTGAGTAAACTGGTCAGCCATTAGATAGTCAGTCTGCATCAGGACACACTGGCTGGAGGTTGGCGAACCAGAAACCCGTGCATATAGCTCTAACTTTGCATCAAAAGTTAGAAAAAATATTTTTTTAAATGACATTAATCATTATTTAAAAAAAGGGAAGGTCCTCTTTGAAAGGGTTTGATTTGACTGGTTACATTGCAAATTGAGAAAGACAAATGTTTGCTTGTATGCCAACCGCAGAGCTACCACCATACCATGGTCACTGTGTTGCCATATGAACAACTGCTTTGGTTTGGAAGAGGTGTCCCATTCTCATTTTATAATGGGGGGGGGGGGGGGGGGGGGGGTTAAACTAGACTGGTTCCAGAAAGGGCCGTGTGGCCAATTTTGCTTCCCTAGAGGCAATTTTGCTTCCCTTGAGGCAATTTTGCTTCCCTAGATCCAGGGAAACAAAATACGGATGATTGATTGTAAATTAATAAGTGACACCTGGTGAAGTAGATGTAATGTTATTGATAAGTACATAAATAATCAATATATAATTTCCTTTAATTAGTTTATTTATGTGCCTTAAATAGTTTTTATTTATGTTTTTGTGGCACTGTGTAGAAATAAAGTAAAATGTTGTAAGGTAAACATTAAGGGAAAAAAAAAACACATTTAACACCAAAAAAAATCTAAATAGCAGGTGTAAAGTAATAATAATGAACAGAATTCATTACTTGAACACGAAAGCCCATATATGGTAAATTAAGCAAATACATTTACTATTATAAGTTCACTGGGTGTTTGGGCTTTACAGAGGAGGACCTGCTGAGGTTCCACCATCAGAGAGAAGGACTCTGATTTATGTGTTAAAAACTACCTGTTAAAAAAGAAGAAAAAAGTTTTTCTTCTATCAAAATGAAACAGAAATGAAAGGAAGAGGATTTATTATTTCATTTGAGATTTCTTATGAGAAAAAAAAATCTGAATTCTGACCTTTTTCAATGTTAAACTCAAATGAAATAAAAAAAAAATCAATTAACTTTTTTTTTCCGTAGAAAAGTGATTAAATCAGGAAGCGAACCCAGAGGAGCAGAATATCTGTCCAGCCCCGAGCTTTTAATTTGGAAACCAAATACAACTACTTCCGTTTATGCTTACTCCAAGTATTGGTTTTCTCCAGAGCGGTGGAGCAGAGGAGTCTAAGCAGGGGAAATAATGACACAAGCTGAAGCTTTATGTGATATACAGGCCAGTAAAGTGGCTCTGGTCCCATTTATCAGCAGGAAGGTAGATTCTGAAGCAAGGTGTGCTGATCTAGTGCGGTTCTCTCTGTTTTCACTCAGCACCAGCGGGCAGACAGAGATGGCTGATGAGTCAACAAGTCATTACCTGTCATCTATTTATTCTGCCCATCCACTGATGCAGGTGAGTCCAATCTGCACTGTGAATTAAACTGTGCAGATTGGACTGGACTGTGAAGAACACATGCATGGCAGATAGAGAAGACATGACTCCACATCTCCCACCATAGGTGGGCTATACCGGGAATTTCAAATCGATACTCTTCCAATTAAATACAGGGTCAGTATTGCCAATACCGATCGATACGATACAAATACTTTTTATATATAAACTTGATGGATCATCTAACTGTTGCCCTTTTGGTGTTTTTGTGATTTTTTATTTTATTCTTATTAAATAACAATATTAATATTGTTATGTTCATTGTATTTTCCAATCTTGCTTTAATTCTATAAATGTCCCCATCGTTGGATAGATAAAACATTAGTTTATGTTAGCCCACTTAGATAACATGTTTATAGACTGAATCTGCTGGTATCGATACCAGCATTGGAATCGATCCAAGGATCGATCCCCCCACCTCTATCTCCCACCTCTGCTGGTGGTTTGGCCATTATCTGTTCTAGGTTGTGTCCCTCTCTTCTTGTCCCTTTTCTTGTTGTTTTCCTCTCTCTGTTTTTTTACTCAGCTGACTTTTCATGCTGTCTCTAAAGGAATGAAAGATTTTTCCAAGCACTAAGCTCGCTGATTGCTCCTTCCTGTGTTTCCAAAAAGGCCAAAGTAAATAACCCAGTCCTTCTTTTCACTGTAGACAAGCCATGATCTGCTTCTCTGTTCTCCATTTTTCATTTGGATGAAATAATAGCTGCATGAATCATGACAGCAGACAAGATAGAGGAGAGCAGGAGGCGGGGTTACCAATCTTTTAGATGATGTCGCCTCAGACACATTTAATATTATAAGCGTTCTGATGGCATTTTAGCGAAAGGATTGTTATCAAAAAACTAATTATTGTGCACAAATAAGGAATAGAAAGAAAAAAACACAGCTATTGAACTTTTTTAAAACAAAAAATTGTGAAATTTATCCTGCATTTAACCTTGGGGAGCAGTGAGCTGCCATTGTGTGGTGGCTGGGGCCATGTATCTATATTTCACCCTTGTCTAGAGTTAGGAGGCAAGAGCTCTTCGTCATCTCACTCCCAGCTCCCCACATAGCTTCCACCAGCAGAGATGGGTTCAAGGTAACTTATAATTGCCTGGGAAAAGGCACAGTCTGATCTCATCTCACACATACTTTGTTGGATACACCATGGACTAGGGTTGTCACGATACAAACTTTTCAACTCAATACCGATACTCAGGAAAATATTCAATACTCGATACCATTTTCGATACCACAAGGACAAAAACAAAGACCTCAAAATTCAACAGAAATATTTTTATTAATAAATAAAATACAAAAAATAAATACAATAAACAATAAGAACAATATTTTGAGGTAGTCTTCTGTGCACAATATTAAGCAAGCTTGATAAAAAAAAAAAAAATTAACTTAAGTGTTCCTTCCTTGGCTACTTTACAAACAGAACAATGACACTAGCCAAACCAGTTAAACAAAAATAAATGCTGTATTCTCAGCAGCTGCCCGTTACAAAAAAAGTCTTTAGCGTGTTCTTTATCTAGCTATATAGATATATATCTATATCTATCTATCTATCTATCTATCTACAAACTTCAGTCATGGAACTGTGCTTACAGCTCCTTATTTCATGTAAACTAATAACTTGTGTACATGATACTTGTTGATGGCATTAAAATTATTTCTATTAGCATTAAATTAGAGTTCCTTTTTCCTGTAAAAACCCTGTGAACGTTTAATTCAATATGACATATTTTTTAAAAATCCCCATCATCATCCAGCAGATGTTCAGTTTCTGCCCAAATATTTTCTTTCTGTTGTGGATTTTTGTAACATGAACAACTAGGATGATACATAGTTTGTATGAACTTTGTTTGTTTTCTGCTTCCAAACTCATCATCTCTTCATCCATTCCTGTTGTGAGATTCGCTCTAGAATCTCACAACTTCTTCCTGGTCTGTTTAAGCACCCATAGTCTGCATCCAATTATTAAATTAATTGTTCTTAGTTTTTTGGATTATATTTTCTAGTTACTGACCTGTTTTTACTAGTACTACTACTTTACTTTGACAAACCGGGTCTTCTCTACATTCTTTTTCCTGTTTGGTGCGATTGCAAATGCGGGTTTTGATCTGGACGGACCGGAGCGGAACAAAAAAAAGCTCAGCTCCGTATTTGACGGTGAGGGACAGAGAAGACGTACGTGGGCGGTGACGAGCCGAGGATGTGGAACAGCTCTCATTGATTTACATGAAAGACATGTACTCCGTACGTGAGCAGACTGAAGCGAGAGGCTACATGCTGCCGTGTGTGAAGGCAGCGAGAGAAGGCCGGTCAGCGTCGCGCGTGCGGCGGCGGTAGTATCGATACTTTTAAAATTGAGTATCGTATCCGGATACAACGTTTAGTATCGATACTTTTTGGAGTATTGATACTTTTGACAACCCTACCATGGACTCCTGGAAGGCTTGGAGGATGGAGTGTTTTACAATGTTGTCAGTGGAGGATATCGAAGTTGTATGGATTTTCAGATTTATGATACTCTGATTTCTCCTGTTT